AAAGTTTTGAAAAATTCATTTGAAAGTAAAATACTATGAAAAGAACAAAAAAAAAATTCACACATTGCAAACAGCACTTACAGTCCACGTACATTACCAAAAAGAGATCAAAATATACATAAATACCTCTTACTGTGTTAGTAACACAGTAGAATTATAGTGATTGATACTGAAAAATCAGTCCTAAATGGCACATAATACTTGAATAGTTAATTAAATATTGAATCTTTTTACTCTCTTAAGATCTTAATACATTTTTCTAAAAATTGGATTTTTTTAAATATTTTGGCTCATCTGGAGGCGTGCATCAATAAGTACAACTTTACCAGTTATTATGGTGTACATACAATCTATAATGTGTCCTCTTTAACAGTGTTTTTTCTCCTTGGCACTTTTTTGTGTGCAAACAAATATACAATATTATTTCAAACTTAGATCTCTGTTTTTGACTGGACAGAAAGTTTTATAATTTTGAGGCAGAATGTACTGGGAACAAAATTTTCAAAGAAAAGAATTATTTAGTTGGTCATGGGACCTGTTTTACTTACCCACCATCTTAATTACAGGAGGAATATGAAGTCAATAAAGTATAGGCTTATATTAATGGCAATTTGCCTCTTGATGAAGATGTTCCCGTTTAACGCCAGTATCAATACATCTAACAATTGCTACCATACGCCATTACAAAACATTGTAGAGAAAAACCAAGCTATCCAGTTTGACGGCAAGTTTTCATACCCCATTGCATTAAGTGTCTGAAAATATATGAATAAAATGTATGTATGTATAAAATATGTGTGTGCCGTTATGAAATATGTTTATATAAAATAATGTGGTGTTTAAAAAGCATCATGTATTTATAAACGTTATTGTGTATGTATGTGTAGTTTATTTCTTATCTTGATATTAATAATGATTCTAAAAACCAAAAAAAAATATTTCCAAAGCCCAGGGATTTTTTTTTTAAGCCACAAAATTCATAAACCTAAACTTCATCAACAAACATATAAATTCAGATAATTTATCCCCAGATATCATAAACACCTCACGTTTTATTGAACGCGTTGTAATCCTTATCCTTCTAGAAATTTTAAAGTGATTAGCCTTTACCACCCAGTATATAGATCTTGGCAACCATGCCAAGTACTGCACCCATCCCAGATTGGCGAGGGGGGAGGCAAAGGGGGGGCGCGCCTCTCGGGCGGGCCTCTATACTTTTTACTGACTAACTTTATTTTTTGCATCTTAATATCCCTAAAATTGTGGCAATAAGGCTTGCTCCAAAAATTGTAAGCTGGACAAGTTCATTTTTTTTATGTAATTTCAGAAGAATAAAATGGTTAGTTACCTCTTCTTGTCCTCTTTCGCGGTTTATACACAAATTGTAAACCGCTACAGAATAAGGGCAGCCAGCCAGGACAGGGTCATTAGTACATTCAACAGGTAACCAGCAATTGTATTCACAAAACCTGGGGAAGAAAATATACATTTATCTTAGTCTTTGCAATTGGGTAATAATAATGGGTTTACATTTTGAGCCTAAAGTCACAACAAAAACCTACATAGCGGGTTTATGACCAGACATGGATCCAGGACTACCTGCGCATGCTTGTGCAGTCTGATCAGGATCCATGCTGTTCGCTTACCAACTCTATTACAAGTAGAAGAAAGTTGATAGCGAAACAAGGGCATGGATCCTGACCAGACTGTGCGGATGCCCAGGCTGGTCTGGATCCCATGCAGGTTGCAAAACAAGATTATGTTTTTGGGTTTTGTCGTGATGCGGCACAGTCCAGTCCAGTGCCAACAATTTTTAAAATCTGTCTCTTAAATGAAACAAAGTGGTGAAAGAAAAAAACGTTTTTCAACTTTTAAAAATTATCATAATATTTTGTATAAAATCATTTCCCAACTACAAACATATGCATGCAATACATGTACCTATTAACCAAAGTTGGGTTATTTTAAAGTTAACTTACAAGTCTTGAGTATGGCAATGGGTAAGGGAACTGGTTGGTTTGTTACTCGAAGGTAAGGTAACGTTCCTCCCCAACATGAAGGGATATAATTTGGCTTCATCAATCAATGTCCTCTGAAGCTGCCGCCAAGGAACCCACGGGAAAATTCTCATCTCGGTGAAGAAGTTTGTCATTACCGGTTGTGCGGTCTCCACATATTCGGCACACACTTTATTTTGTCCAGTGTACAGGAAGTTATTGTCAACATCCATTCGTATTGTGTAATGTATATGTGTAGGAATAGATGACCAGATTGTTCTTTTCCTTCGTGTAGACTCGTCGCTCGGCGCATGTCAAAAAACAGATACAATACCTGTAATCAATAAGGTATTACTTAAATTTTGTCTGTCAGACCTGTTCATGCAATATTGATATTAAAACAAGGATCCATATATCCAAAATGATGCCACAAATAATGAAATATTACATTGCATCTTGGTAAAATTTTATGTCATTCAATATTTAACTAAGAAAAGTGTCCATAGGGACAACGGATGCCCAACATGCCACTGTTCTGTCAATCTTATGACTCTAGGTCAAAATATTTTTTGGGGGACACATGTGCCACAAGTTTTGAAAACTAAAAAGGAGTCAAACAAAGGGCCATAATTCTGTTTAAATTTGGTTGCAGCAAAAATTCCTTTCCTTTACTACCATCTCCTACATTAAGTTGTTTCATCCCTGGAAGTTTTTAAGCAAAAATCTGCCATCCGGTTTAAGAGGAGTTGCGTTCACTGGAAATTTCTACATAGTATATAGTGAACAAAGGCTGTCTCAGGAGGACAGCCAAGCTCGACTAATAAAATACTGGACGCAGTAAGGAGGACAAAACTATGAAAGAAAAATCAATTATGTATAATTATGTATTAAGTTATAGTAAAAATAACATTTGTTAAAATAAATTCAAGATCAAGGGAAATAATTCTAGAAATAGTCACGCTAGAGTTATGAACCTGGTTACACAACATGTATCATGTAATGATAAGAAGTATATATTTGAAGTTTGAAGTAGATACCTAAAAAAGTAAAAAGTTATAATATTTCTTTAAAGAAAATCCTAAGTTTTCAAAAAGAGAAATAAATCTGTAAAGAATCACTTCAAGAGTTATTGAACATTGACACATAAAATATAATTGTGATTATAGGAATAAGTATTTTGAAGTTTGAGGTAGATACCTTTAAAAAACTAAAAAAGTTATAGTAAAAAATAACATTTTCTTGTAAAAAAATCTAAGTTGATGGGGAGATAATTCTTGCCAATATTGGTGCTAGAGTTATGAACCTTGTCACATAAGATGTGGATGATGATAAGGTACATTTATTTGAAGTATGAAGTTGATCCCTTTAGAAATAAATAAGTTACAGTAAAAAATAATATTTTTAAGGGGAGATAAATCTGAAAAATATTGGTGCTAAAGTTATGAACCTTGTCACATAATATGGGGATGATGATAAGGTACATATATTTGTAGTATGAGGTTGATCCCTTAAGAAATAAGGAAAAAACAGTAAAAAATAGTATTTTTTAAGGAAAATTCTAAGTTCAAGGGGAGATAAATCTGAAAATATTGGTGCTAGAGTTATGAACCTTGTCACATAAGATGTGGTTGATGATAAGGAACATATATTTGAAGTTTGAAGTTGATACCTTAAAAAATTACAAAGTTATAGTGAAAAATATTTTACTGCACCAAAACTTTAATCTGAAATCTGGATGCGGACGCCGACGCCGGGGCGAGTAGGACAGCTCTCTATATACTTCGTATAGTCGAGCTAAAAAATCAACAAAGGGCCATAATTCTGTTAAATTTGGTCGCAGCAAAAATTCCTTCCTTTACTACCATCTACACATTAAGGTTGTTCATCCCTGGAAGTTTAAGCAAAATCTGCCATCCAATTTAAGAGGAGTTGCGTTCACAAAATTTCTACATAGTATATAGTGAAAAAATCAACAAAGAGCCATAATTCTTTTAAATTCGGTCCGGCAAAAATTCTTTCCTTTACTACCATCTGCACATTAAGGTTGTTCATCCCTGGAAGTTTAAGCTAAATCTGCCATCCGGTTTAAGAGGAGTTGCGTTCACAAGATTTCGGGACCTATGGACAGATGTAGGGACATACCAACTTTTGATATTTAAGAGGCAAATCAGCTCATAAACTACACCTGGACCAAAGTTCATAAGCAAAATTAGCTCATAAAAACAAAAAAATAGCTCTTAATTTGAATTTTATGAGTTTTTGTTCTTTATTTAACTACGGAATGAAGCTCATAAATATCAAATGTTTGCTCGGACGGACGAACACTCGGACGGACAATTGCAATGCTATATGCTCCCACTCTGTGGGGGCATCAAAACAAAATACCATAAAAAATATATAGTGTCAAAGAAGATAAAAGTACAAATATCCAATGAAAACGACAATAAATAAGACAATTTCCTTAGTTTGCATCTTGCCTTATTTTTATCAACTGTTCTTGCTCATAAATTTGTTACTGCATGTATATGAAATATTAAAAATAAATTATTACAGTTCAGTTATAATTTTAAAAGTATATAACAATAAATACATACCAGCTAACAAAGAATTGTCCTTGGCCAGTTCAGCTGCTGCTTTCTCCATTTCCACCTCTGTATTGAACCCTTCAAATCTATCCAGTTCCAAACATGATACATAGTCTTTAATCATTTTTGCTACTTTACTGATTCCATTCATCATATCCATGTCAGTGTCCTCTAGTGTATATAGAATATCATCTAACTCTCGTGTATCAACCCCCGATACCTCCGTTAACATACTCTTTATCACGTTACTGCTTACTAAGTCCTGTAATGTCAATACAAGGTTCATCAGCTTTGTCTCCATCATTTGTCAAGTTTGAACAAATCAAGTCTATCTGAACTAAATCTATGATTTGCCAAGTTTGAAAAAAGTATGTTTATCTAAACTCAATATATTCAATGAAAATTACCCATGTAATGATAAAAAAAATTAACGTTTAGCCTGCTAGCATTAACAATTTTTTCCCATGGAATCAGTGCAGACCACAATCAGCCGGTACTTCCGTTCCATCTGATTATGGACTACACTATTTGACATTCAGTCAGTACATAAATATTTTGAAGTATTCTCTAAAACAAAATGTATTGTTTTGCCCATATTGTATGATATTTAGCACTTTTGAGATGCTAAAAATGATATGCATATTCAAATCTTACAAGCACAAGTGAATTTTCGCACTTCTTATCACTACTTTTTACAGTATCATATACATGTATATTAAGACTGAAAACACTTATATGGAAATTATATTGATAGGTATGAAAAAGGTGCTATAAATTCAAACCTGTAACTCCTTTGCCTTGTCTCCTGTAAGGTTGCCAAGGGCAACTGACCCCTCTGCCCAGTCTACCGCCAGCTCTATAAATTCCTCAAGTGATGAAAATGTTGTATTGATCTTTATATGAAAATCAACAAGAAAGACAATGTAACAAAAAAAGAACCAAAGTAATAGAAATTAAAGAAAATGCTTTGAACACAGCTGTGAACATTGTTATTTTTTAAATTACAAAATGTTCTTATTTAACTGCTTTGCTTAGGACATGAACAGAAGCTTAAGTACCTAAATCAGAAATTAGATAACTAAAAGCAAAATATATCTTCAGGAAATGAAGTATAGATTTACCTGTGTGACAATAGTTCTTGCTTCAGGTGTGTTTGGTGAAAACACAATCTTTCCTCGGAGAAGTGGTTTCAAATAAGACCATATGATTGGGCCATTTCTATCTTTCAGAATGCGCACATACATATCCTTGCATGCAGTTCCTGTGGCCAAATAAATTATAATAATTGTTATGACGGTGAAAATTGTATTGAAAACAAAATTCTTTGTAGAAAATTTGCATATTGTTAATGTGTGGGGTTTCAGTATCAAAATGCTTTAATGAAACAGTTAATTGTCTGGTCAGGTTTTCAGAATAAGCAAACTGGCTTGGGTTTATATCTATAGCAAAGGTAAGTCATTTTGGCTGTAAGCTTTTGAAAATAAAGTTACATCCTTATTGCGATGAAGTTTTATCTACTCACCAGGAAGAGCATCAAACTCTCTCTGCTGTTCTGTTGTCAGTTCTGTACGGGATTTCAGCACAGCACCAGTCTGAAATTCATCACTTATCATTGGAATGGAATTACCACATAATATAGCTGACAGTGATCCAAACTCCTGATCTCCTGAAATCATAAAACACAGAAAGTTTATATTTTTATATACCAAAAGAAAAATAAATACACTGTACTCTTCAATAAAAATTAAATGAATTAGGCATTAAATGGATAACAGATGTTGACATAAAATCAAATTCTAAGTGTTCGAAGGAGTAAAATTTTACACGTTTATTTTTCCCCAATGAACAAACAAAGTACATCTCGATCTTTCTATTTTCTATTTTACATAATTATACTGTATATTAAGGGATTAATTAAGTTAGTGACATGGAGATATTGGCAAATTTCATGAATTGACAAAAATTGCTAAAACTTCCTCTACCATACATATCCACAAACCTGTCATTACATTCTTTAATACTGTGTACATGAAATGCTCTATTCACTTAGCTTATAAGGTAGTCCAAAGACATGTATTATTGTACAACATACATACCAGTTTGAGCTTGTGCAAGGGTGGTAAATGCATCAGGAATAGTGTCCGCGAAATCATTAAACGTCTTTGTTATTTTCTGTAAGTCATCATTAGCATCAACCAAGCTTTTTATAGCTTCCTTAGTCGCATCAAGTGTTATATTAGACCTCCTTAGTATTCCATTAACTCCATTTATAACAAACTATATAAACACACAACAAAACAACACTTTCACTATGAGAATGATCCAACCCTAGGTGAATTAAAATAACAGCCATGAGAGGCAAACAATTTCAAATAAGTGACAATATAACAAAATTTTAATTAGCTGCTGAGTTCAAAAACAATCATTTTAAATTAAACATATTAAACATGTCTTCCTTAAAAATATTTTCGGGAGTTTTCATATAGACAAATAGCCAGAATTAAAACTGTTCACTAGAATTTCATTAAACTTGTAATATTTTTAGAATATGAAAACAGAAAAATTTTAAGCAAAAAACGTTAGGTGTCATGGAGCTCACTTCTGATATCTTTAATACTTACATCTTCCATTAGTTGGCCGATATCTAACTGCTGGAATATCTCATCAACGAGTGACGTCACCGTGGCTTTGTCAAGACTACAGAACTGTTTACTAACAAGATCCAAATCCAAAGATGAACCGTTCTTTACATCAATGGTCTCCTTTAGTTTAGTACTGTTACAAATATAGCTTTCAATGTCTGTTGTTGCCGCAGATATCAGCTATAACAAGAAAAAATGTTATTTATCATTACTTGCTATAAAGTACCTTCATTAATATTATCATTATCACTATCATTTATAAGTATAAAAGACAAAATATCCAGAATTGGCCATGATTCCCTACCGTAATCATTTTTACAGTGTTAGTTTGATGCATTATATTTTCTAATGATCCAAGCTTGATGGAGGGATGAATTAGTGCACCCAACGATATAAAGAAAATGAACATCATTACTGAACTTTGATGAATATTGGATATTGTCTAAGGAGTTAATATAATCAAAGGAGCTAAAATTTATTATAGACATTACAAAGGTCTGAATCTTACATATTTCTAACTGCATTATACTTAACTGTATAAGAAATATTAATTGTTTTCATCGGTACATTTTGCTAAATGATCTATAAAAGAAGCTATATCAAAACAAATTTTCAGCATTCTAAATTTAAAACAAATTAAAACACAATTCATACACGGGCACAATAACACAAATATTTACAATACTTATATTGTATAACATACAAACCAAAACATGTAATGGTATATTAACATCATTTACTTACAGCATCTAAACTGAGGCTTCCATCAATTATAGCTTCTGTTACATTTTCAGGTAACTTCATTGTGTCAATCATGTAATTACGAAGGTATTCTGTATCTTTAACGAGGTCCTTTATTTGAACTGAAATGTTTCGCACATTATTTTGTATGGAAGTCAAAATACAAAACGTATTAATTTGTTTAAACTTTCCTACTTTTATGACAACAAATTAGACATTCAGCACTGCTTTCTTCAGGTGATAAGCATATAACATGCTCTAAAATAGGTATTTAAAAATCATAAAACTTATGGTTGTCCTTTTTTCCCCCTAAGGAATGATGTGCCTTTAAAATTGTCATCGTAATCTAACCCCTAACCCTCTCTCCTCCGAATCCACTCTAAATTTGCAATACAAGAAAGACAAACTAAAGTGCTCTTGTCATTATAATAATAGGGAACTAAAAAGCATATGCAAAATTACTGACAAACATGCAGGAGAGTATTAGCACTTTAAATCACTGACTTTTTTAGAAGTAACCCACCATTAAAGAATTAAGAAGTACGTAATGAATGATTTTTTCTATTCTAAATACAGTTATAATAATATGATATATTATTATATAAACATACCATTGGCAACAAACATGTCCCTCAGTGAGGTGAAGGCAAACACACCTTCTGCAAGCATTCTAACATCGTCAAGGATACTATTTGTCAAGTTACTATCATCTAGTATTTTAAAATCATCCAGTAACACATTCAAGCTGTAAAGAAAATGTATAGAAGATGTTTTTTCAGTTAACTATATCTCATTAAGAAGTAAAAAAATATTTTCTTCACAAATAATTTTTGACTCACTTTTTTACATGAGTACATTTGCCATATTTGTCTTAAATTTGGGCAATTCCATTTACGATATCATGCATGGTACAGGTTGAAAATCAAGGACAAAATTATCATCAAGCACCCCTTTACTATATATATAATCAAGTTGTATTTACACATACAGAGGGAAAAAACACAATAATAACAACATTTTACTTTGTAAATAAAGACCTTCAGCCTACATTTAATAAGCAGCAGCAGCATAGGAATAATTTGGTCAATCACAAGTCCAGTGATAATATTATAATTTGTTTAATTCAATTCATCCTCAGTCACTGTTTCAAATAATATGCCGAACAATCTGTATTTCTCTTGCATAGAACAAATAATAATGAAAAATAAATTATTGCAAAACTGGTGTTGATCTACATGTACATGTATATGAAAGAAAGTATTTAAACTGCAATAAAGAAAAAAAAGAAAAATTTACTCACTTTTTCAAAATAGCATCTGGTCCATTATCTACAAGTAATTCTTGGAGTGTTCTTAAGAGTTCCCTATCCTCACCAAGCTTGGCTATATCAACTGTACCCAGTCGAGCCACGAGGTTCGTCAAGGATGACAAACCTTCAATGTTGCCAACTAAAGCTGATATATCCTTAGAAACCTTTGACCAGAATGCCGTAGAGTCATATTCTGCCAACTCTTCAAGCTGAAGACAACAATAGTAAAATATTTCAATATATAACAATATGTTAAAAGAACTTTCCTGAGATCCAAACGCATAAAACATAAAAAAAATATTTCTTACATAGATATTACTGGAATATTTAGAACTTATTAAAACTTTGCATGATCATACAATATGATGAGAGAAACACTCTAAGCACAAAAAATTGGGGGTCACCAAGCTTACTCTTATAATATTCGAATATCATGCAAAGTTATTTAAATAAATTCTGTTTTGGTATGAAAATTTCATTCTGTATTTCATATGTATAACATATACATACATGTACATGCATATAAATAATTGTAGCATAAGCCTTTAATTTCAACACAAATTCAAGTGGAAGCATGTTGGACTAGTTATCTAATGATCACTAGCTACATGGATTCAAACCCTGTCAGGGGCAAGTCATTATTTCCTTGAGCAAAATACTTTACCCTCATTACTCAGTACTGGTTAGTTTCAGGAACAGATTCGAAAGTGTGTCTATAAGCTTATAGCTTCCTACACAATCAAACTAAAATAAATTCTGTATATACAAACTTCATGTGCCTGCATAGTTACGAGATTACAAATATGCCATACAAAAATAATAAAAAATATACCTCTTCCAGAGTCTGTGCATAGTTTGCCAGATTTTGTGCGACTTCCTTTGCTAGCTCTTTGTCGTCCCCACATAATGTAGCCAGTAATGTTACATCAAGGGAACTGGTATTACTTGCCTCACATAGTTTCTCTATCAGCTCATCTGCTGTCAAGTTTTTCTGAAAAAGTTTGTTTTATTATTTACAACAATGTAACAACACTGTCATTAAGCATTTCTATATATTCAATTTTTCTCATTCACTTAAGCTGAATAGTTTAAAATGTTTCTGAAGTAGATCTACAATTAGAAAATCTTGTCAGTGTTTTAATTATGACTCAAGATTAGAAAAAACTCATGACATTTTGTGACGATTTTAAATATTGAATCAATTAATTGTTCACTGAGTGAGTGGGAAATTGTAGTAAGGTTTAACAAATACTCACAGCATTTTCTAGGAATGTCATATTGAGGGAGGAGAATACAGAATCTATACTTGTAGAGAGAGTTTTCTGTAGGAAAGCTGTGATATCTGACATGTCATCTTCTAAACTATCCTGTAGTTGTTTCACAGCTGTAATAAAATGTATCATTATATATAATATTTACAAATATCAAACTGTTGTAATGATTTTTACCTCCATCTTAAATATTAACCTCCATTTTATATATCAAAGGATTTTCTATTTCAAAAGTTTGTGATTTAGCCTCCATTTCATATATCAAAGGTTTTACAATAATCTACCTCCATTTTAAATTTTTACTTCCATTTAGACATAAGAGATAACATCCATTTTATATATCAAAGGGATATTTTACCTCTATTTTTTAATATTTCAAAAGGATATAATGATCATCCTCTATTTTATTCCATCAAAGTTCTGTAATGGTTTTACCTCCATTTTAAATGTTTTACCAAAGGTATAACCTCACTTTTATATTTTAAAGGATATAATGATTTAACCTCCATTTTATACATCAAAGGAATATAATGATCAACCTCCATTTTTAAATGTTAATCTCCATTTTATATTTCAAAAGGATATAACCTCCATTTTATTTATCAAAGGGTTAATATAAAGTACCTCAATTTTAAAAGGTAACCTCCATTCTATATATCAAAGGGATAATCTCCATTTTATATTTCAATGGGAAATAGTCATTTAACCTCCATTTTATATATCAAAGGGATGTAATAATCTACCACAATTTTACATTAACATAAGGTAATAATAATTTTACTTCCATTATTTGGGAACAATGATGAAGCCTTGCTGATTGAATGAATATCTTTTGATTACTAAAAAACATTAATTTATATATCTATTATCATTAAAAATGTTACCAGCTTCTTGTTGGTTGTATATTTCTCGAATCATATCAATAAATTCTGTTGAACCATTTGTACCCATCAAGCTGTCAAGAAGTGCCCGGATGTCTTCATTTTGCAGTAACTCTAATGCTTCAGAACCTGCGCTGAATAATCTGTAAATAAATAAAAAAAAATATACAATGCATACAATTAAATGGTGAGTTTTTATTTACTAAGAACTATGGGAAATAATATTTTCTAAAAGACTGCATCTGTTTCAATTAAAGACTACATGTACATCTGTTCCAAAAACATGCCCATTGTGTTATAAACATGTAATAAATGTTTAAGAACAATTTAAAACTTTTTTATCCCTTATATTTTTTTGTCAATAATTTAATCAGATATCAGTTTATACTTTACATTAATTTAAAAAAAAATCATGAAGTAAGAATTCAAATTGAACACTAGTGGGGTCACAACTATGTTTCCTGATATGACACCATTTCTTGTTAGTTCCAAGAGGCCACTGACAGGTTCAAACAAGTTTAAAGCTTTAATCACAATCATGTTAAAATATACTGTCACCTTAGTGCATTAATGAGTTAACTCCTTATATAGTTTAATAGGAGTTAACCAGTTACTGCACAAAGGTGATAATTATAAAGATTTAACTAAACCTACTTCGAAAGGTCTTGAAGTAATCCCTCAGAGTCGGATAAAGTTTCTGTTACACACTCCACAATATTTGATGATCCATCAAATACTTTAGTTAGAGATGTGGCTAATGTTTCAAAGAAACCAGTATATGTTGAAGTCCTTGCGCAAGAGAATTCTGTCTCGGTTTTTTGTGACATCATTTCTTCAATCTGAAAATGAAATAGTCAGTGCAAATTTAGTATAAAATGAATCACAACTACTTACTTCTGTTTGATTGTTAAACATGTTTTAAGTCTATATAAATCACTTTAATATCCACTTACCATATTATTTCCATGTAATGCCCCCAGGGGCTTGCATTTTTCAAAAGGGCTGTACAATTCAATTATGAAAATCATTATTTATTAGAGGGGGTGGGGGCATTAAATTGAAACAATACAGTACTTGAATAAAAAGAATTGGTATTATATCAAAAACATATTGTTGACCCAAGTGGGGCTTAAAGCCCCATAATTGACGCCAGAGACTGAAACCCTAATCACAAACTCCTCAAATCAGAATCAAAGTAAATTTTTTTACGATACTTGATGGTTAGATGTCAGGATGTTGATATCCCATTCCCAGACACACAAATTATTTCTAAAATTTATGCTAAAGAAATATAGCTGTATTGGAAGTATGGGGTCGGAAAGGGGGAGATTATTCAGATAGTGCAAACCTTTTTCAGTTCACGAATTAAACCACGATCATCGAGATATTTAATAACGTCTGTGATATTCTTCATCTGCATCTGACACACAGCTTCATCAACACCTACAAAGAATAAGAAATATCATAAATTACTGGTATACAAACCGTTACACTTCAATATAATCAAAATGCACATAAATCTGCGAAAACAGTGACAAAAAATTTCAGTTTACTTAAAATGTACATATTTCTGTGATGCATGACCATCGTCTTTCATTTTCTATTATTATCAATCACGTTAACTTTTTTTGTGACATTGAAATAACATCAATTCCTATGACATAATCATCAAAAATTCATTTAATACCAGCATATTAAGATGTCAAAATACAAAGTTTATCTAATTAATCATTAATAATTGTATAAAATATATAAGGTGTGATAATTTTGCAAAATATACAGTATAAGATTTTTGTCAAGGTCAATTTAACATTATTCTCTCACATTGATTTTCTTTTCTAATGCTAAGCCTAATCTATTATGCATGTTTTCCAATTAAATACCAAGTTGAATTTATTTAACAGATTTGCCCTTATTTGAAATCTGGAATTCATGTCCTCAAAAGACTTAAGAATGAAAATATAAAAATTTTGTAGCCAACAATATAGAGCCTGGTCAGACTGCACGGAAGTTATAGCCTGGCTCTATACTACTAGCAGATACAAGCAAGTCAATATGGCCACCAGCAGAGTTAACAAAACTTAATCAGAAATTTTCAAGAAAATGTACGTAGCTTACCAATTTGTACATTCATGACAGAGTTAGAAATCATGATAAATGTATGTACAGAATCCATGTATGGTTTAACCCACGTAGAATACATCTCTGTTGACATGGTATATTGTAGTGTACGCTCACATACTTCTTCATAACTGTAACATGAAAACAAAACTATAAGTGCACTATATAACTTATTGTAAGTGTTTTAATAATATAATATAAGAATAAAATATATAACAATCAAAAGTGACTAAAAGAAACTATTCTTATCCAAAATTTTTTCCTAAATTCAACCTTTCTCTCTGATCAAAATCGATACATTCTGCTCCTGTACATTGAGTTCAATACAAATAAATTCAAGAACGATTTGCGCTTCACTATGTTTGTTCAGAACCAAACTGCTGTTACACAAAAAGACAAATTTGATTGAATACATTTGAAGAAAATCAAAGTACTTTTCGGGGATACTTCAAAAGCAAAAGCAGACAATTTGATAAATTATTATATAAACAAAAAGTAATTCAAATACCTTTCAGTCTCGGCCGTATTTCCCATATTTTCTAGAGCTTTCAGAATAGGTTGGAACCAGTCTTCTACACCAGTTATATCTGCATTCTCCAGATCAAGTAAACTTCTTACTATACTGTCTACCAGTGTGGACATATAGGCCCAAGTCTCGTTATTTGCATTAACAGTGTCATTCATTATGATATTTTCAATCTGGAAATAACGGAAAAATAAAAAAAAATTTTTAAATTAACCTACTATCTCCTTTAGTTCTATAATGAACTTGTCTAACTTTGAATTTGGAACAGTCTATTTATACTTGCTTGGATTTAAAGATAAAAGCAATAATTTTATGCAGAAAACAAAATAGTGTAGTCCAGTCCATCCATTTTGTTTTACAAATATGATCCATCTTATAGGCAAATAATATTGTCAATATCATAAAAGACATGAAAATAACATAGTACAGTCAAACCTGTGGTAAAGGCCACCTCCAAATAAAGATCAAAGTGGAAAATATGCCACTTTTCAACAACCTTCAATTGATTAAAAGAACAATTTAACCTCCAAATAAAGTCCACTTGTCATTAAAGACCATGTTTGGTCTCTCCCTTGAATAACCTTTGTTTACAAGTGTGACTATATTTATCTCAGACAGTAATATATCTTTTTTGTTTTCTTATTCATAATACTGGTCAAGAAAACACAAGAAGACATAATATACATTTTTATACCATAAATCAATCACTTAAAAGTACACAGGTAAGTAGAAAAAAAAACTCTTACATTTTTTATCAATTTCTCCGCATCTAATTTACTCATTATGTCATCTAAGTAAGGTTTTTGAGAAGCATATTCCGAGCAGAGATGCTGCTGTAGCTCTGTCACGTTTATGTCGCTCGGAAAGTCAAACGTGTCCATAAATATATCCAGATTACAAATTGTCCTCTCCCAGTCATTACTGAACATTAATGTGATAAACTGAAAATGAAGTTTTCATTGAATGAATTAGGTTGGTCAACAATGTGCACATTAAATATTTTTTATAAAATGTTAAAAAGAAAAGGTAGATCAAAATGTAGATAAAAACAGATCTTATTTCATTCCAGTTTAACAGTAAAATGGTTCTCACTAAAATATAAAGGTATTCTCAAGAATTCTGCCAATATGACACAAGGTTGGCAATGTTAAAATTCTCAACCAATTTTTATTTTAATATTCAGCTACCCCATCTAATCTCTAGTAAATTAGCAACAATATTTACCTTGGCGGGATCAACATAGGCCAGTGTGAACAATGACACAGTATCACTACTGGCCAAATTCTCTATAAAATCAGCCATGGCACTGGAACTTGGAAGTATATCAGTGATAGGTACACTCTCATTTCCTGAAGGAACATGATTTTATATCCTTTGATTATTCTTATCAATACAAAAATGGAAACAAAACTTTTACAATACCTAAGATTTGTTGAAAAATAAAAGAATGGTGCATAAGAAGTGAATGGCTGTCTTTAATGTCTTTAGATGTACTCACTGCAGGTGAGAAACACAATAAGTGAACAGCAGTAAATACCACATCTTTCCATCATCATCATGGACTAACATTGCTGTAAAAACTCATTTCAAATTGGATTATTTCTGTGTTGATCTCACTTAGATTGTATAGTAATTTTACTCCTGATCACTTTTTGTGCAAAATACATAAATAAGGCAACATGATAACAACTGATAGTATGTTGATATCAGATTCATACGCAGTACTGCCTTACCAACATTTCACAATGCATTCAACTTAACAAACTTTTCCATTACAAAATACAAATTATTAAAATTATGGGGCAATATGTACCTGTGAAAAGGATTTTGGAAAAATAACTTTGCATACAGATGGCTGGATCTATTTTCATAATTGAAACATGTTTGTTTTAAATACTGTACTTATTTTTCTGAACATATAGATCTTTTTTTTTGGTTCAATTTGTGGGGATATGTCTTTTTCAAAAGTACTTTTGCAAATGAAAACTTGAAATTATTTTTACACACACCTGTAAATTTTTCCAGCATAGTGTTGATATACTCCTGTACTTCAATAATAATCAGCAACATGGCTTTAAAGTCCTTTAGTATATCCTCTTCCGCAATCATCTCCAGCACATACATTAGCCTATAATATAAATAAATAATTTTATTGTTCAATTTTTAAAATATATATCCTTAACTCATATCATGGACCTACCTGCTTTGAATTCAGAGGCACCCATTGTTACTTTAGCAATTTCAATATCAGAATTGTAAAATAAAGTTGTAAAGATTTACAGCCAAGCCATGACTTGCAGACTGTGAGACAGAGTGCAAGCTGGTTCAGCCGTTTATTACACTTGTTGTTTAGGCAAGCCATTGTTGTGATTTTGTTAAATTCTATCCTATAGATGACACTTATATTAAAACCATTACTCATCCATCCCTCCTTTAATAGTTATATTATTTTATGAATTTCATATCAATATAACTCCTAGGGTGAAAATTCCTTAATTTTAGTCAATTTTATCTTTATATCTCAATGAATGTCATGCATGTAGCCAATTTAAAGGTCAAGGAAAATGGTATGTCCTAAACCTTTAGCCTACTGGCAGGACATGAATATACTCAACGCGACCAGTGCAGACCAAGACTGTGGTCTTCACTGTTCGCTATTAAGTCAGTCAGTACATTTTATGAAATTTTCCCCTAAAAATGATGTATGATTTTGTCCAGAAAGAATGATGGACAAGTTCATTTGAGATATTTCACATAGCAAGTGTTAAAACTGATAATGTGGTAGCATAATCTCAAGAAGAATGAAATTCTAAATCATAACCTACCCTTCAAGACCAGTGTCTTGACTATTTCGTAGCCAGTCTTCTGTTGTGGAGCTGCTGTTCAATAGCCCGTCCAGGTTCAATTTCTCCAACATTTCTAGAACAGTTTTACTGGCCACCTTGTCATCATGTTCCGCCATTTTATCTTCTACGGCCTGGTTAAACTGAAACAGAAGATGATCAATTAGTATCTAGATAAACCTTACTCTGCTACATTTTTGTAATGGACTTGCCTTGCTTTGAATTTGGAACAGTCCATTTTTACTGTGAGGGATTTTAGTTTCAAAGTGTTTAAAAGTTATGCAGCAGACGTAATGCGGCACTGAATTACAGAATCCTGAATTACATGGTAGTTCATCTCTATACTGTATAGTTAATTCATATTTACAGCAAACATTCAAATTGGTATGGTAACATAATTGTCTTAAAATAAGTGTACTTAGACAAAACAATTCCATGATTTTATAAGCTGTCTGAGTAGCTCAATAGGTAGAGTGCTGGACTGTGAATAGGATGACCTGGGTTTGATTAGGAGAGTAAATTACCACCACTGCCACCATATAAAATATGTCAGAAGTTTAGCAAATTTTAATAAAAAATAATCTGAACTTTTATTTTTACAATCTTATCATTAAAAAATCTAGTCTTCAAAATCTGTTACCATAATAGATGTACATAACAAAAACATAATTGATGAAGTTTTGCCCTGACAAAACATAAGAACTCTTTTATTTTTAACTTCTGTCATTTTCAACAAGTGTGAGCCATGTTTTCCACTCCTTCATGTCATAGTATTTGATTAATTAATAATGTTTGAAATAACAAAAGCATGTTTACCATCATTTGAACTTGATAGAGGTCCCATTCAGTATAAGAATTACTGTTCAATGTATTGTTCCATTCTGCCATATCCACGTTACATAACATCCAGATATATGCTGGATCACCAGTTATCATCCCATATAAATATCTCTCCATATATTCATGTACCTTTTCATTCTCCCCACATACCAGTGATTTTAAAATACTTTTTCTTGTGGGTGCATCCTCGTCCTAATACAAACAGCACAAAAAGGTTATTGAACAGAACAAAACAAAATTTAATATAAATTATTTATATGAAAATAATTTCCTTTATTTAGCTTGAGAAATAAATTGTTTCCTTCCGTTACATTGTAACGTTTCGCTTATTTTATAAGTCAGGTTCCCGTTATAGTTAGCGCATAGAATAGGTATAATTTCATTAGATGGGTTTACGCGTTGCACGAAAATCCCGTGCAACATTCCCAGTACAACATTCTCAGTTAGCTAGCTATAGTCGACACGACAACAACGTTGAGAGATTTAATATTGACAGCTAAAATAGATTTAAAATATCAGCAATGCCACGAGGTAGAGGCGTAAGGAGAGCTATGGGTCGTAGAGGAGCGGCGAGTAAGGGCAGAGTTGTGAATCAGGAGCGGCCTACAAATGATAGACCTGTTACAAGGGGGCGCAAACGAAATGCAGATGAAGCGAATGGCGCAGAAGCGGAACACGTGGAAGCACGTGGCTTGAGCAGACCAGAGTCGGAAGACGTCGGAATGGACAGCAGATTCTTGCAAGATAATGCTGGTGGGTCCAATTTTATTGATTTTGAAACAATTATTCAAGACTCGGGTATCATTGCTACTGATAAGAGAAATAAAACTATTTTAAATAGAAATATGCAATCGGGGTGTGGCAGCACTTTAGGTCAAAATTCATCTTTTCGAAATCCGGAATCGAACCAAACACTCCTGAATTCACTGCCCTCAAACTCGCCCGCTCCTAATTTATCTAATCTAGTTCGCCTGGCAAGCGACGATTTAGCTGCCCATGTACCGTCTTCACTTAAGCAGCAAATTTGCAAGGGCGAGTACGTAAATCTCTCTTTGTTGTTAAAAGGCACCGTAGAATTATCACAGTTTTGTAGCGGAGGTATTTTCAAAATAAATGCTGATGGTCAAATTGAAACTGTTCAAAGAGAATGTAAAGAGAAAATAATGTCTATAGAGAAATGGACAAATGCATTCATCATTTACACATCTATATATCTTCTTAACCATCCAGATAAAGTACATGAAATGTTACATTACATGTTTAATATCCGGGAATGTGCTCTACAGCAGGGTGGAATAGCATGGCGAACTTATGACGAACAATTTCGTCTCCGCCAGGCATTATCGCCACAAAGCTGGTCACAAATTAACAATGATCTTTGGTGGCGATGCATGCAAGTAAAAGATACATCTCAAACATATTCCCTATCAACTCCTCGTAGATACACGTGCAATGACTACAACAAAGGGTCTTGCACGTGGCAGAATTGCAAATTCTCCCATAACTGTTCTAAATGTAATGGGGTACACCCAGAGATTCATTGCAATAACATCTCGCATGTTGCAAATCCGCCCTCATCAAAGGCTCAGAATATTTTTCGAGCCAAACCAGCTGGAAAATTTTTCAGGGGCGGCGCAAGAGGTCAACACACAAAATAGCCCGCCCACGCCTATAACTGAAACTGTTTGTCATAATGATATTTTCAATATAGCAAAATCGCCTGTCAATGTAATTAGTCTGAAATACTATTGTTCAAAATATGATAGAAAAGAGGCGCATTTTTTAATTAACGGTTTTGTAAATGGGTTTCCTGTTCAGTATTCTGGGCCAAGAGTTTTACGTGATTCTGAAAATTTACGTTCAACAGCATTAAATCCTGATATTATACAGTCTCAAATAAATAAAGAAGTTCAAGCGGGCAGAATAGCTGGCCCATTTAATGAGCGTCCACTGCCAAACTTAATTGTCTCCCCTGTAGGTCTTGTCCCCAAAAAGACGCCCGGCGAATTTCGAATGATACATCATTTATCTTACCCCTCTGGGGAATCAATCAATGATTATATTGACCAAGCTGTCTGTACTGTTCAATATACCAGTTTTGACGAAGCAGTCAATTTAGTACAAGAATTGGGGCGTAACTGTAAACTTTTTAAATCGGACATTAAAAGCGCTTATAGGATAATACCTATACAACCTTCTGATTTTGAATTACTAGGTTTTCGTTTCAATGATAAATATTATTTTGATAAGGCCCTCCCCTTCGGAGCATCAATAAGTTGTATAACATTTGAAAGATTTGCAAGGTTTTTAGAATTTAGCGTGAAATTAAAAATGAAGTCTGGCAAATTGATTCACTATTTAGACGATTTTTTAGGTGGCAATAAGACAACAGATCTGTGCATTCGAGATCTGAACCATTTTAAAGATGTTTTTGCAGAATTAGGTGTTCCCATAGCCCATGAAAAAACCGAAGGCCCGACAGAAGTTTTAATATTTCTCGGACTTGAACTCAATACCGATCAAATGACTGTCAGAATCCCAATTTCTAAAATTAACGAAGTTGTCCTGAAAATTAAGGAAATTCTCATTAATAAGAAAACAACTTTATGCAAAATGCAGTCTCTTATAGGATCACTGAATTTCTGCTGTAGGGCTATAATAATTGGTAGGCCATTTATCCGCCGTTTAATAAATTCAATTTGCGGACTTACAAAAAAATATCATCGTATAAGGATAAATAAGGCAATTCGCCTTGATTTAGAGATGTGGTTGTTTTTTCTGAATAATTTTAACGGAATATCTGTTTTTCATGACAGATTCTGGGTAACTAATGAAGATGTTAATTTATACTCTGACAGTGCTGGAGGTCAAGATCGGGGCTTTGGGTTATATTTCAAGGGACATTGGTGCCATGCTCAATGGCCTCAAGTATGGCACAAACGCGGAATTACATCTGATATAACAGCGTTAGAGTTATTTCCCATTTTGGTTGCGTTATATATTTGGGGCTCGGATTTAGTTAACAAAAAAATTAGATTTAATTGTGATAATATGGCCGTTGTTCAAATAATAAACAAGTTTACTTCAAAATCGGAACAAGTTATGTGTCTTGTAAGGTGCCTGGCTTTAAATTGTCTTCATCTTAACATCATCATCAAAGCTAATCATGTACCTGGCATTTGTAAAAAAAATGCGATGCTCTCTCTCGCTTTCAGTTACTCAAGTTCGTGAATTTGGCGCCAGAAGCAGACTTAGACCCGTGCCCGGTACTGTCTTTTATTTGGAATATCTTCGATCAAGAGCGGGGCAACTTCTTTCAAATGAAATCGCAACTAATACCTCTTTAACTTATCAAACTGTCGTTCGAAAAGTTTAGACACCTGTACAATTTAACGGTCAAATGGCCAATCCCAAATCAGCACGTAATATTATATACGACTTATTGCTTTGAAAAAGGAATTTCGACCAAAACAATCACGACTTATATAGCCGACTTGAATTATTTTCATAAACTAAGGGGCTATCATGACATCTCAAATTAATTTATTATCAGTAAACTTTTAGAGGGTTGCCATAGGAATCGCGTTTCATTTGATTGCAGGGCTCCACTTACACTGCCTAACTTGGCTGTTGTTTGCAAGAGTCTTCAACAAGTTTGTTTTAATAGATATGAAACTTACTTGTTTACTTCTTTGTTTACATTAGCATATTTCGGCTTATTTAGGGTAAGCGAGCTAGTCACTTCATATAAAGGTCAAGAAACTGGCCCACTCAGAAATTCGGACGTATCATTCATCAATTCATATGTTATCATCTCTCTTAGAAACTTTAAAACAAATCAAAGAGGAAAATTGATTACGTTAAAAATACTAAAGGAAACTGATGCGATTTGCCCAGTGCGTGCATTATTGGACTATGTATTACATAAGCCTCAAAATCAGAAGTTTTTCTTTTGCCACCAGGACGGTGTGTCAGTAACAAAAACACAATTTTGCGCTGTTTTAAAACATGTGTTCAGGGGTTCCAACTATCGAACAATTTCAAATCACATAGCTTTAGGATTGGTAGAGCCTCCGACTTAGCAGCTCAAGGCTGTTCGGCAGAAGTGATAATGAAACTTGGTAGATGGGCCTCTTCTTGTTATAAATTGTATATCCGGTCATATTTACGGTCTACAAGTCAGAGTCTTACTTTTATTGATGTATAGTACATACCTTGTTCCATATATCATTAATTAAAATATTTGTAGACATCTGGGTGGTCGGTGACTCAATACCTTATTGGGCAGAAGTACGAGCAGTGACAACAGCAAAACCTAACCTTGGAATACAGGGCAAGACTATAGCATGGTGGGTGTAAGAGGTCTAAAATGGGCAGATTTTAGACATTCAATACAAACACAAGTCCTACTTTCTCATCACCTTCGATCATCATCATACATTTAGGTGGTAATGGTTTAACATCTATTTCTCTTATTAAACTAAAAAAAAATGATTGAATCAGACGTAACTTACCTCCGTGAGACTTTCACGTAGACGACACTTATATGGGTTGGCATATTGCCAAGGAGGGTCTGGAGAGGGGCTCTTACTTTGAAGCCAATCGAATAAAAAAAGGGTAAATCGTCAGGGCAGACAAATTGTTCAACTGTGTGGGAAAAGTGATACTATTTCCCCTGACATTGACACTGAAACAAATTTTTTCCGTGATGACGGGGTACATTTAAATGCCGTTGGCTTGGAGTTTTACCTTTTCCATTTAAAGGAATCAATTATTAAAAACATGTAATACTCGCTATAATTTGGGGGATAAATTAAAATTTATTGTGGCGTAAAATTATATCGATTGAGGGATGATCAGGCGTACAGTTCTTTAAATAGCAGTTGTTGAGGTTATTTTGGCACAGTAATTAGTACCTCTTTCGCACATTCACAAGTCTAACTGCGTGTTCATAGTTTTTCTTCTCTTCACGTTGGTAGTGGTTTCCATTACGTTACCGTGGGGAGCTGAGATCTATGATCATGTAGTTGGATAGACTCTAGAGGTAATGCGTTGGTGTGTAGCTATTTGCTGGCTTGAGTTGCTCAAAGCCATTGCGTTGCATTAGTTTTATTTAGCTTGGGTTTGCTTCAAATCTTTGCATTGCATTTTTGTGTTTATAAAGTTTTGGTATTGCAACTTGCTGATAACGCCTGATCACCTTCGATTGATATAACTTCTTGTGGTAGGAGCATCTAAGCCTTAACCTACCATAAGTGAGCGGCCAATACACGCCAACCTTATATAAATACTTAATGATCAATTATTTGATATATCATGTCATGTGAATTTTATATAAGCAGATGCGTCGTAAAATAAAAACTGAGAATGTTGTATGTTCTTTATTATTCTATTTTGAATAGTCTTAAATAATGTCAATCATCTATGTGGAGATATTTTAATGTTAATCAACTATGGATATACTTTAGTGTCAATCATCTATGGAGATACTTTAATGTCAATCATCTATGGAGATAATTTAATGTCAATCATCTATGGAGATACTTAAATGTCAATCATCTATGAAGAGAATATAATGTCAATTAACTATGGAGATAATTGAATGACAGTCATGTAAAGTGATAACCTTATGTTAACCGAGTAGAGAGGTCATTACTAATGTCAAACATACAAGTGAAAATAGAAATAATTTAAGATTTCACAAAGGAAAAAACCTTTAAACATTGAGAGATTGATGTCACTGAATGCCTTTTGTCTTTATAGGCATGTTAATACCGCTGCTAACATTCAAAATGGTCAATCATAGATGAAAATAATCTCAAACTCCTTTGTTAATTTTGTTTTTTTCCGTTATTCATTATTTGATACTTTCAAAAATGATTTAATTGATAAGCACTCAGGTGCTTTAAAACAAGACTACCATTACAATGACTGTATACTTACTGGTGAATAGTAGGCATTGAAGAATTCAGAGAGTACTTTCAACCAGTCTTCAACAGAAAGGATTGACTCAATCAATGATCCAAGTTTCTCTGGATTACTATACAGTTCCTCAATATCATTGCCTGATTCAGATAAAAGACTTGTGTTATATACATGTAGCAATGGATAATATGTACCAAAGGAAGAATTCCTCTAAACAATTTAAAATATATCAGTACACAAGTTCATGGTTCATGAAAAAGCTTTGTTTGGAAAATATTATAGGTAAATTTGAATTCAGAATCCAATCTGAGAACCATAGAAACAATTGGCTAATTTTGAAATTAACCAATGACATTTTTTAACAATACATTCGAAATTAACCAGTTACTGGGAAGATGACACATTTGTATGAATAAGAATTTCAGTATTCAATTTAACAACAAGTTAACAAATTTGAGGCAAAAACCAAAACAATATAGAGTGATATCATCTTTAAACTCTCGATCAAATATTTAAATGGTCATTATCTTTTCAAGGAATATGTTTCCTTTAAAATAAGATTAAAACTGTTAAAGACAAATTGACAACATGTTTAATTTTCAACACATGTGGTCTTGTCCAGACTGTCAGATGGAAAAGTCCATTTAAGATATTTAGGGGGGGGGGGGTAAGGGTAACTTACTTGTCAGTTGTTTTAAAAATGGCATAAGAAGTCTGTTGAATGCGTTGGTCAAGTTGTTCATTTCACTTCCAAACAGAGGATTTATATTGCTTAGTATGTTACTTCCACTACACAAGATAAAGATAAAAAAACATAATTGTGTTATTGATAAATATTTACAATATCACAACAAAATTACCGAACATGTAGATAAAAGTTAAATATTTCAACAAAGATGGATGTACCATTCAATTACATAAGCCTTCCCAATCCAAGGAGTGTCATCAACTTGATTGATATAAAGGTAGCAAAATGTAAACAAAGTAGTATTTTGACTTGAATACAAAATGCTAAATCAGGATAACTAAACTTTTTGCCAAAAAGCAAAAGACACAAAATATAGCTAAGTTTTATGACCTATGTATAACTTTTAACAAACTTAACAGTGCATCAAACAATAAAAAGCCTTTGAAAAATAAAAAATGATAGCTTTTTTAGGCATAATAGTCCTTTAAAATACCTATTAATTTCAAATCAAAACTAAAGAAAAGGAATTAAATCCAAGAAATGTAAGAAATCCAAGAAATCTTTACTTGGCATAAATATTTGTTTATTTGAAACATGTATGTTTATCAAAGCAGAAATTTTACAATCTAAAAATAGAATAAGCTGACATACACACTAGGATCCTTGTAAAGAGAGTCAAAGAATGAGAGAATTCCCTCCCAGTTTGTCCATTGGCTGAGGGGACTGCTTTCTGCAGGTGGTCTTTCCATCCAGTCAGATAACATGCTGACAAACTTCTCCACATTGCTGGCAAGAGACGTCCAGTTCAAATGAGCATTGGTGTTTGTAGCATTCCATATTTCTGCAAGCTGTAATCAGTTCATATAGGTTGATTATGATATGGACTCGTTTACTTTTTCATATAATACCCTTTTCTTATTTCTTCACTGCGATGAAGTGCCGATTGCCAATCATAAGAATTTATATAATTATATTAATGAGCAAAAAGGTAGATTTACATTATTACAAATAATGCCGATTATATAAAAACATTTATTGTCACTACAAAGAGATTATCAGATCCTTGCAAAAGTGAAGGAAACTAGTACTGGTAAACTGCTTGATAGCCTACCCACAAACAATGCCCTGGCTGAACTGTGCTCTGGTAAATTCAATGTGGCTTACTGCCATGATCCAGGCATTAAACTACCACCACCACCAATAGTTAATATTAATATTTTGATCTTGATATGCCTGTAACGAACAAAGAACTGACCCAGTTCAAAGCACGGTTACTCTATTACACAAAATCAGTCGAGTAAAGGTTAAAACATACATACCTTTTCTTCAAACATTTCTAGATTAACTTGATCTTGTAGGATTTCTGACCATGTCTCTGTATCTATACATATAACTTCTTCGAGGGCTATAGATGCTTTACTAGCTGTACCATTAGCAGATATATATGCTGCAACATTGTCCTTCTCACACATGTCCATTAACATATCAGGGTCCAGAAGTAGATTGTACAGCTGAAAGTGGAATCAAAAATCATAACTGATTAAACTGATTGCAATAATTTTAGTCTAGAAGATTGAATACTGTTAAAGCTGGGGCAATGGCACATGAGACATGTTTGCTTTTTTTCATTATCTCTCATGAATAGACTACACATGAAATTTGTTTACAAAAGTTAAAAAAATATTATGCTTATTTGTAAAAGAACAACTTAAAACCTATGCATACCTTTTCCTGGTTAACAGTTTTATTCAAGGCTTCATAATCTTTATTGGAGATATCTCTTAGGTTAGCCAAGGCTTCCATAAAGCGAACAATTTCACTAGAGTTCTTCGACAAACTGCCAACAGTAAAATTATCTGAAAAAAAAACAAAAAAAAACTTTGTTTATCATGACTACTACCAAATTTGAATAATTTACCCTATTTTATTACTTAGTATGGTATATGTTTTCATTTTTTACACTTTGACTTATAAATGGACAACAAAAAGAATATTTTAAGTGTTCAATATAGGCCCCTTACATATACATGATCTGTCTAATGGATGAGTTAATATGGTACCCACCACAGCTTAGTACAATTTATGCCAACATCGCCACTTTCTGTTTTGAAATGTTAATCTAACATGAAGTTCGTTTGCTATACAATTTTTTTTTAATTTTGAACAGTCTGTATCATCTCTTGAATTAGAATGATCCCATAGACCTGCATTGAATTATGGAACAATCCATTGATAGTTCAAGGGGTTTCAGTAACACAATGATAAAACTGAGCAGCCAATGGTATAGAATAGTATGTATAGGCTGGCCTTTCTCTATACTGGTCATACACTATCACATCAGTGTTCAAAGAGTTATACACAATGTACATGTATAAAGAAAATACCTGATACATCCATCAACCTGTCAACCATATAATCTAAGAAAAGATCAATTGTAGCAAATGTTCTTTTGGCATCAGAATCCAGCTCGATCATCTGCATTATCTGAATAGCCAATGGGGAACTGAAAGATAAATACACATGGCGCTTTAATGTCCAAAAAAAATAGGAACAATGGACACACACAATCACCTACATTCAAACCTTCAATAAGGCTTCTGCTAAATAATAGTTTGTAACTCATGTCTGCCATAAAAATGGAGACTCTCAATATGCAATGGTGGCATTATACAAAAACAAATTGGTTTATAATCTCACAATCTTCACCTTTCTGACATTCTGAGACCCAAACAAATTCAGCACCTTCTGTGCTTTGATTTCTTCAGTCCCTAAATCATTTCATAATTATGTTAGTTTGTACCAAGTTATTTTAGTTTGATTGTGTTGGAAGCTATAAGTTTTTTCAAACACTCCCAATCTGTTCCTAGAACCAACCAGTACTAAGAAATGAGTGTAAACTTTCTTGCTCATGGATACAATGGCTTGTGCCAGACAGGGTTTGAACCCAGGTTGCCAGCAATCCTTAGGTTACTAGTCTGATGTATTAACCACTTAGTCTCGCCGCCATAATTATGTTAGCTACATATTCAACTATAAAACAATAAAATCTATTCTGGCAGTATTTGTGTGTGAAAAAAATTGTTTGTTTATACATTTAGAAGAATTTACAGGTATATTCCTGACATGATGTATAGATTGTAAGAGCTTCTGTTCAGCCATATGGTAATTAATTGTACCAGTGGCCTGGGTAAATATACCAAATACAAATGTATACCAAGTTACATTAAAAGAGCAATAAATGAGACACATAACTTTGTATACATCTATTGTAACACATAATTATCATATTTCTTACATTGATTTAACAATATCGGTATATTGACTTCCGAGGAAGTTCTCCATTCCCTTTAGCAATGTTTCCAGTGTCGGATCACTCGTCTCAACGGCCTGCTCTCCATTTAGAAGGTCAAGAAGTTGGAACCAGTACGTAGAATTTTCCCATCGTGTAGGCACATCAAGATTTGGCGGACTTTCCAACCATTTACCAAGTTTCTCAGTCAGCTGACTGTTACGTTCTGTGATCAATCTCCAGTTGAGTGTAGTATTTGTTTCCATCTAAAAGTGGTTATATATATACAACAGTAAAATATAAGTTGATGAAGTGGTCATACTATGATGGTAGTCAAAATTGTTTTACATTTTTGAATAGGGGGGAAGAAAAATACATGTGGGAGAGGTAGGATATTGATTTTCTAATAAAAACTACACTGTTACAATAACACATTTTGATTTAAATCTTAATTAATAATTGTGCATATCCTTTTTTACAAGATGTGATACCAATTCTTGTGACGTGCAAATTGTGCATTATTTTTAATACATGCTTTATAATTGTGGATCATGCTGGACACACATTCTTTTCTTTGCTTTTTTGATGAGTTACACTATAAAATACATCAGTAAGATATAAATCATATCACACGGTTTTAGACTGACAGCAAAATATTTTTTTTATATTTAAAAAATCCAGCTTTAATCTTACCATGTCAATTATATCTTGAATAAAGAAAGCATCTACAAATTCTGTCATCAGAATTTCAAAGTCAGTGTCGCAGAATCTGTCTTTGACATCATTCATGTTGGCAGTTACACTTGGGGGAATTGTCATATATTTTGTGATATCTGAATCACAGATATCTATAAGAACAGTTGTAGCATTTGTGCTCTCCAACAGCGCAGTAAACTGGAAATATATAAAAGAAATTTGCTACCAATTTTATTCATTTGTTCATGCAATATTCAATTCAAGTTTATTCTCATTAAGGCCTTTGGTTCATAATTATACAACATTTTTACAATTTCATACAGACAACACATAACCAGATGGAACCACCAGTAATAAGCCTTTGCCACCAAATGGTAGCTAAATTTTTAGGTTTTGATATTGAAATCCAAGTAAACTTTGAATTGACTGTTCCAAATACAAAGCAGGGGCAAATCTATGATAGTTTGCTATATTTTACACACATTTTATAATAATTATATTTCAAAAGTTCACAGAGCAGTTATTTATATTTAATGCCATGCAAGTGTTATAGCATCAGCAATTTCTGAAGATGCTACCTTTAGAAGTAATAGAGCTCAACACACAAATTTTCTCTCACAAATACAAGTATAATCATTTATAGTCCAATTCTTCAACATCATAAACATGTGATTCACAATTCACTTGAACTGGCTGATTTCATAAATAACACCATAAATTTGTGTGTTACTAAAACAACTAGTACATGTACCAGTATGAGACACATGTCGTAAAATAAATGAAAATGTTTCCTTATACTTTTGGAGTGTTGATAGATGCCATCAAGGTTTCCATGACACCAGGCTCCTGTAGCATCATCACTAGGCGTTGTATCTGACCAAAACCATGGAAAAAATCCTCCAGTTTGTAGGAATCCCCTGAAACCAAATAAAACACTTTTACAGCCATAAAAATCCTCTTAAATAAATATAAAAATTCTACCAATAAATTTTATATAACATTTATGCACAAACAGTGAGTAGGGTTATTTAAGTTACTCTATTACTATAAAGGTCATAATGGCAACATTTTGATTTTACTGATAAATGACGACCCAAGGTGCCATAATGTGCATTATTTCATTTACCTGTCAATGCAGGTACCTGCTTAAACATTTAAACTTTATGTGAAGAACTAAACAGTTATGACATCTACATGTAAATACACTTTATACAGCATGCATTATTAATCATTCATTCTGAAAAAAATCATAATTTACATATAAATTTCTCTTAACATAAATGTAGCAGAAAATTGAATAACTCAAAATTTTACTAACCTGTCATGTTTTCTAAATGATCCAGCATTTTCCCCATGACATAATTTGTGATCTCCATAGATTTAAGTTGGTTTTGGAATTCTGGTGACATAGATACTAAAGCTTCCAGTAAACCATCCATATTCTGACTTGCCCTGTATTTTAATGAAATAGATGAATTTTACTTATTTACTATACAGAATTCAATGGGTCACATTCAAAGAAATGACATTTGCATTTCAATGACTGCTTGTTTGTTTATTTTGTTTTTTTATGCTGATTTTACCACATTTTTCTTCATATCTTGGTGGTCAGTTCACCTAACCAGCTGTTCTGGATTGAGTGTGTACATAAGGGATAATGAAATAATGCAACATCCCTCACACCCCCTAGCACTGGTTTGATCGGTACTCAATTTTCAACACTTTAAAGTGCTGGCATAAATGATCCTGAAGGACCAGAAAAATATAACTACACTGAAGTGAAGTACAGGGCAATTTTTTACAGCCAGGCATGTTACACTTGCTTTTGTGAAGTATAAAATTCTCAAAATACAATGTTGATATAAAAATTAATCATATCAACTGACCATTTTAAATTTACAGTGACAGATGTCAATTACATACATTTACCACCAGAGTAACATTAAATTCTATAGAATAACTTACATAGTCAAAGTATCCAAGCTATTGGTTGTATTTTCAAGGAAGTCATAGATTTTCTCCCACACTGTCATATTGTCAAAGCCAGGTATATTAAATTCACCGGTCTTGTTAATGAATTGTTCGACTTGTTTCATGAAGCGGTCATACTCTGCCAACCATCCATCTATATCAACCTTTTCTGATACACTAGATATGTTGCCATACTGTAAACAGAGACAAGAAAATAACATTACACAATTTTCATTGATTTAAACATATTTATTTAAGCTTGATTAAAAATACAAGTTCTTGTTACTTATATTATCACTTTCGAGTCTGCTTCCTGAAACCAACTAGTACTGGTGTCATATGAAGAAGAGCCCGATTAGGGCTCAAACCCATGATCCATGGGTTGAGAGGCAGGCACCTTAACCACTAGGCCACTGCTCCACTTAAAAAAAATATATAATTGATCTCAGTATCCAGATATATAATAATTTTATACTTATTTTAATTTTGGTAAATTAAATACACATCTGACAAGAATGAGAAAGTTTTTTTGTTCTCAAATATAGTCATCACTCTCAGTTCAATTCAATGTCATTTATATAATACCTCTATGCTATGAGAGAATAGCTTAACATAGATCAACCTCAAATTAAAAGGTTGGGCAAGGAAGCTGTTTTTATTTTCTGTGACAAACTGGTTGATGCCTATATCCACTGTCAAATTGTCATCCATTATGTTTTTGTTTCAAATGATATAAAAGGAAGTGAAGTAGTTGTTAAGTACTTATTCAGAATCCCAGTAACCCTCTATAGTTAAATGACTTTGCAGATTTAACAGATTGCAAATGTTACCATATTTGCATATAATCAGGTGTTACTATTACTAAAATTTCAAAAAAATTTACAAAAATTCTGAAATCACAACCCCCTCCCCCTTTTAAATTTTCAGTGACACAAAAATTGGTTTCTCAGAGTTACAACATAAGACCTTACTTTCATTGTAGTAAATGAGTTTTTAAATTTTAGAGTTTGGTCCCAGTTGAAAAGAGCACATTAACAATCAGGCCTATACAAACAGTAACATTTGCCTTACACTAAATTTGTACTTACTGCTTCAGATATTTCTTTTGCTTGTATAAAATCGCTTGCCTCGTGCTCAAGAAGTGTAAAGTTTACGGAGCAAAACAGATTAAAGAAATCTTCAAATTTTATATTGAGTATCGGAGGATTTGTCATCAGGTCGTAAGGGTCGGCCTCACATATTGTATCTATGCCCATTATAGCAGCTTCTGTGAATGTAGTTATCTGAAAATATAACAAAACTTGCAATCAGAATTAAATTTATACCTGAACAAGTTAAATATCTTACAGGCACATTATATCCTAAGAAACAAATAATTTTTTCCTTCTAGAATTGGCAAAGATTCATTTTATAGCCGTTAAATAATGATTTTAGAGTAAGTTGCATGCTTATCCCCTGAGGAAAGTAGCGCTAAATGTGAAACAAATTTTATTACCTTGATTTATAATGAAAGTTTGAAGCTTATTGGAAACAATCTTAAGTCTATTTCCTGGAACTAGAAACCAGTACTGGTGTTATATGAAATAACACTGTTGTGGCAAGAGAAGGGCTCAAACTCTTGATCCCTGACATGAGAGGTAGACACTTGAACAATAGGCCATCCTTCCTCCTTATAACTATATAGTTACTACACATTTTAGTGCACTTACGTACTAGAGAAAAAAAGTTATTTGTTCAAATATTGACTAAAAAAGGACAATGGCTAAAAAAAATTATACTAAAGCAACAAAAGTGTTATGGTTTATACCTTAGAATTATCTACAAGTGAAGTGTAGGTAAAAGTAACATAAAGCTGTGGTAACCATTCAAGCATCTGCCACATTTTATACATCTCTGGGTAACCCTGGAATCCTGTGGCTGGATCTAAATTCATCCCTGTGAAAGGAATATGATAAAATCAATAACATGTACATAAAAAGAAATTATTTTTATAATTTGATGTAAGTAAAATGGTTTAAGCCAAATAATATCAAGATTTAAGCCAAACAACATCATGCCAAATAATAACAAAAATAATTTAAACCATATATATATATATTCAAATTAGCCTCTGTCATCAGAACAGAAAAAAGTCAGCCTACCTGCACATCTGTGCAATCTTTCCAGGGGCTATACTGATGTAAGCTCAATTTTGGTACATTGATATTAAAATCCTTTAAAATTTGCATTTACCATTCCATCGTAGATTCTAAACTGGGCAGATCTAGCATACAAATTTAGCCAGTTTTATGTCCATCATGAAGATTTTTTATGAAAAAAGTATACTACATTACATAAGTCTAGAGAAGCTGTCTAGATTTAACAAACCTTCTGTCTTCATCAGCACAGCTGTCAGCACTCTCATGTATGTTTCTGATATTCTCATAATATCCCTAACTTCTGGTATATCTTGTAGCTGCATTAAACCTTGCAACATTTGCTCATCTTGTAATGTTCTGCAAAGACAATTACATTGTTATGGAACCAAAATAGATCAACTTTTGCCACCAGTATAGATCCAGGGCAGCCTGAATATCCCTGCAGTCTGAGCAGGCTCTACACTGTTGACAGTCAAACTTGAAATTTTCAATTTGATTTACATGTACAGTAAATTGATAATGGACAATCCAAGAAATGATAAAAAACATTAAAGAAATTCAGCAGGCTGAAGGTTACTGAATTCTCCATGCTTGAAAGGAAACAAAGAAATAATCAATAACACTTCAAATGTGGTATAATATCCATTTTTGTGTATTTTCAGTTACCTGGCTGTCGTGATCTTGATTTAGAATTTTCAGGTAGAAAAAAAGTCAGAAGAATGTCTTACCTGATTTTAGAATAAGAATTTATCAAATAAAGATTATGAAAACATACATTTTGATTACAGTGGAAAACTTGTCAAAATACCAACAGGGTCACAATAAGCATTGTCATTTGCATATAATGAATTTAACACTTGAATGAAGCAACTAACAGTATAGAGCCTGGTATGACAGCGCAAAAATGCAGACTGCCCTTGCTCTATATTGGTGTTACTGACATCTAAATACACACATTTAAACAATTAAACTTACTTTAAAGGATCAGCTGTGTCATAAATATCAGCAAGTTGTGTTGGTATGTCCATAAATTGTTCCAACAGTCTCGTAATTTCACCATCCATGATAAAAGGTAACCCTTTAACTTGGACATCTGCTGTGCTTAAAGAAACCAACAATTCTGAATATCGTTCAACTACCACCGCTATTTTGCTGTAATCAACTAGAAGTTCGGAGGCCGTCATATTCATGGATATTATATTGTCCATCTGCAAAAATATAAGTAAGGAACTTCATTTAACGTTGTTTGTTTAATTGGATTTAGGGCAAATGTTTTCAAAGTGCTTCTTTTATATATTAGTAGACAGTTGATTTACAAGTGTTCATAAATTTTGTACTAAAACTGTTTCTTCTGCAAGTAACTGGCATTTTTCCTATAAATAATAATTTGATATATCTTATTTGGTAAGTTATTTTTAAATCAACAATACAATCAAAACATATAACGAAAACAATATAATGTTATTCCAAAAATGCCTTTGTGTTTACTTAAAAAGGTATTGGTAACTTTGTATCATCATGCAGATGTTGCTAGGCAACATGCTTTATTTCTTTAGTTTTTTTTTTTCTGAGCTTTATAGAAAAAATAAATAAACTGTTTGTAACTACATAATCCCTTTGTTTAATCATAACTTTCAATAGCATTAAAAGAAGCATCACTTCCTCTTACTCCTTAGTAATTTCTAAACATTATACAGGGCAATTTTATATATCCAAATGTAATTGATATATCACACAAATATTTCTTACCGCATTAATGAGGTCATCTAACCCCTCCATGCCTGCTCTTACTTCATCTATAATTTCTTCTCCAAAAGCAGCACAGATAGCATCTACAATCTCAGTTTTTGTAATGTTGCTGTTCTCTGGCATTTGTATGGCATCTTCTAGTTGCGAGGTATTCGTGCATAAAGTGTCAAAATTCAATGTCAGCCATTTTTCAACACCCTGAAATATTTCAATATCAGAAAATTTAAACAACAAGTAAACACACTGTATCAACAATCAAAAATATTGAAACCACCTGTAAGGAAGAGAAAAACAACCAGTTAAAAAGAGAAAAAAACATGTAAAAGGAGTACATTATTAAGTGAAATTAAAGAGAAACAAGTAAAACTAGTAATACAATAAACTAAAATGTGAAGCAACTCAATAAAAGATCAAACCAAACTGTAGTAAAACTGAAACAACAAGTAAAAATAGTGTAACAACATGTAAAAGAGTGAATCAACATGTTAAAAGAGCAAGTATGAAACAGTAAGCATTAAAATTTTGTTATGATTTGTTTGTTTGTTTGTTTGTTTGTTTCATTTTACGCCTTTTTCCAACAGTATTTCAGTCATATAGGCGGGTAGTTTCCTAACCATCGTTCCTGGAGAGTTACACCAGTACTAGACTACCTTCCTCCGCGCTAAACTACCAAAGCATCTCCCGGGGATCGAACCCACGCCATAGTGTAACAACATGTAAAAGAGTGAATCAACATGTTAAAAGAGCAAGTATGAAACAGTAAGCATTAAAATTTTGTTATGATTTGAATTACCCTCATGGTTTAAAATGCTCTCTTTATTTTATACTGTTTTCATTTTTTGCTTTGATGAAACTTTGAATTTTTCAGATATACACCAATTCAAACACATTATTCTACAAATCATTTTCTGGTGGAGGAAGACGTCAGGTGCTCCTCAGTGTACAATTTCAAGCTTTCAAGAGCAGGCACCTGAGTAGAATGACCGACCTTCCATAAGCTACATGTAGCTAAATACCTTTCTCACATGAAATATTCCAAAGTCCCTAACGGGAACTGAAACAACAGCTGTGACAAGCAAGTGATTTGAAGGTCGCCAACTTAATAACTTGACCCTAAAGGCTCAAATCCTCAATGGCTTGTTGCTAAAGGTTCATGCAGTTTAAACATGAATTATACTTACACCAGCAGTTTGGAAGTTGTGTAGAATGACTGCATTTAATTCAGGTGAATCTACCATTACTTGAAACAGCTTATCAGCTCGAGGGGAATTTAAATGTGCACGAAGGTCAAACACCTTTGTCCCTAAAATAGCAAAAAATAGCAAAAAATAAAAAACTTGCAATATATGTTGGATAAGAAATAAATGGCTATTATCTTGGTAATTCAGTTTTCGTTTTCTATGTCAAAGGATAGCACTTATTACGGTAAGGGGTAAATCCACAACATGCCTTTGATTACATAAGATATGTGAAATGGTATAGAACTAATAGGCCAATTGTGCCCAACAAATGCTGTATTCTTTATTTCTCAAAAGCTTGTCAATTTAGTTTTCCAAAATGGTTAATTATTTGCTATTTTCATGAACAATCTTGCTTTTGCAACATTTTAGCAATAAGTACATGTGTACAATAAACTGTTTCAGTAATTTAGTATTCTATTTTAAAATCAAAATACTACTTTGTTTACATTTTGCTACTTTTATAACAAATAATTTCACATTCAGCACTACTTTTTCAGGTGATAAGCATTTAACATGCTCTAAAAACATAATTAAAATGCTATATTAAAAAGTCAAGTTACCCTTTCTAAAAATGAAAATTTTTATTAGTTTCTGAGGCATATTGTGTCTTTTAGCATAATATTTTGAACATGAGTGGAAAAAGGACACAAATTGAAACAATAAATGCTCACTCAGTCATGCAAATATTTTAAGCTGTCCGGTTAGCTCAATAGGTAGAGCGTTGGACTGTGAATCGAGTGACCTAGGTTCGATTCCCGGAAGGTGCAGCTAACTTTCGTTGTGATTGATCATGAAATCTTTTTTACGGTCATTCGCACTGTACCTCCCCTCTGGCATGTACAGAAGTTACAGTTCCTTGCGAAAGTGAAGGCAACTAGTACTGGTAAACTGCTAGACTGAGCCTGCCTAAGAACAATGCGGCGGTTGAACTGTGCTCTGGTAAATTTAATGTGGCTTAAAAATATGATTCGGAGTGAAACTACCAACACTACCAAATATTTTTTCCGAAATGATGTAGTCCAGAAACCACAATTTAATGAAGAAAACGAACACATGTTATATAGCTAAAGCGGAGAGACATACTTTTTTATATTTCTGACATTACAAAAGAATACTCTTGACTTACTGTTGATGATGTCCAGATGTATATTGACAAATTTAAAGAGATGATAGTTGATATAGGACTGTATGGCAACATTGTACTGCCACATCTCTATGAATGTGTCATTCTGTGCCGACATGTCAAACAACAACTTCCAAATCTGATCTACAGATTTTCCGATCCTGAAACAACAACGTTCAATAATTATATAGACAAAGAGTCAAAGACAAGATGACAAAGTTTGCTTTTTTAAACTACACCCACTTTAAGAGAATAGAGAATCAGTTTCCAAAATATCTGTATATATTTTATACATATTCTGTTAACTAGAATAAACTTACCGATAGTATTATCTATAAAGATTTGTGACAGGTTATATGGCCCTATATAAATGTGCTGCTAGGAAAAGGTTATATTGCAAGCAATCATTTACATATGGTCATATTACCTGTTGAAAATCTTTTTTATCAAATTTCAAATACAAAACTTCCTTTATTTGAGCAGGGTCTTTTAAACTGAATTTCTATTTTAAAGACCCTGATTTGAGAAAAAATGAAATTAATTCATAAATTCATAGTGTCAGTGTATATAAGTTATACAGTCACCATGATTATCCAATGTAAAGTGACTTTACAAACATGGAGTATAATAAAATATGTTATAATAGGTACTTACGCATCTGCATCATAATCCCAGGTGTTTTGAAGAGCTGATGTTAGATTAGATATAGAAGAATTAGTTCCAGTCAAACCAGCATTTGATAAGTCTGGCACAAAGTTATTAAACATTCCTTTGTTGATATAGTCCAGGAATTTCCGAGTAGTTGATATCACATCCGTCCAGTTCAATGATATTGGAGGAAGTGACTCTGTGTCATAGGTTGATATCATTTCCCACTATAACAATAATAAACATGACTTTAGGTATCATTTCCCTTTTCAAAAATCTTAGATATCATTTCCCTTTTTAACAAAAACAAGCATGAATAAAGATAACATTTCCATTTTTTTTTTTACAAAAATAAGCATGAATAAAGATAACATTTCCATTTTTTTTTTTACAAAACAAGCATGACTTTAGATAACAAAAAAGATGAAAAAAAAAGCTAAAAAAAAGTAGGAACCTGAGAACTTTCATGATGTAATCAAGGTACATCCCTTCGTCATACATACAAATAAGGTTTAGACTAATTGTTAACATCATTATAATAATAGTAATATCATAGGTGCATGTTAAAAATATCAGAAAATCTGAAAACCCTGAATCTAATATTATTTCAGTTGGTTTAATAAAGAAAAAGAGAGTTCAAAAGTAGAAAAAAACACCTGAACTTCTTTCAAAGCTTGTGCTCATGCAATTTCCCATCTTTCTCATCTGTCAGTTATTTTGCTTACCAAGCAAGTGTATAATAAAACAATTAGACCAATATGTTACCTGGGATGCAAAATCACTCCATGGAGTAGCTGAAGTTGTCAACTCATCCATTATCTGGGTCCAATTTAACTCACATAATCCATTCTGGAACTTTGTAAATGACGGGGTACTCTTGACGCCCAGCAAGGAGCTTAGACTTTCAGGGTCCTCACAAAATCCCATATAATCTATGTTCATAACACGTTCTATCATCTGATCATGAAAAACACACAAATTCAGAATTAAAAAAGATAAATAAAAAACATTTTTATTCAATAAAAATCACCTTTCTAATTATAATAATTACTACAATGTACATTAATAAGATGTAGAATATGTATTTCTGTATTAAATAATTAAATAAAGAAGTAACAATGATATTTCATAAAATGCATTTCTGCTGACTATCCTGACAAATTCCTATAAAATACTGATATGTAATATTACATGTACTTTCATTCATGAAAAAAAGGCTATATCTTGTTCAAGACTTTCATTGATATTGTTAGTGTTTAGCCTGCTGTCATGGACTGAATCTTCCCTTGCAACCAGTGCAGACTAAGATCAGCTGGCACATCCAAACTATCTGATCATGGTCTACAGACAGAACATATTTTGAAAATTTTCTCTATAAAGATGATGAATGGTTTGAAAGAAAGACAAGTCCATTTAGAATATATATTTGGTTTATACAGAATTAATTTTTAGTTTGATTGTGTTAAATAAAAGTTTAAAGCTGATAGACACACTCTTGAATCCATTCCTGGAATCAACCAGTACCCAGCAATGAGTGTAAAATTTCTTGCTCAAGGAAACAACGGCTTGCCCCCTGATGGGGTTTAAAACCCATGCAGAAAGTGATCTTTAGATTTCTAATCTGGCACCATTCAGCCATGCTGCAATTTTGGAAATTTAGCATGGGAAGGGTTAATTTATGAACTTTTGATACAAATATGCTGATATTTGCAGCATTGGTAAGCAATTATCACAACTACAATTGTACAGATTAAACTAAACTGACAATTCTATTTAGATTCTACATGACCATCTATTTACCTGTTGTGGTTTATAAGCAGCTTTCTGTAACGCATCAATGACCTCTGGCATACTGTCCGTAGAATTCTGGAGGTATTTACCAAGTGTTGGTGAAACCGTAGTAACATATTCAGTTATATCCCAGTTTGGATCTTGCGTAAGTTCTGCATAATGATTGAGTACTTTAGCCAGTAGGTTCCATGTCCTAATATAATGTTTTACACGTTTCCATAAGTCCCAAGTGGCAAGGGCTTCATCCAGGCTCTTTAAACTGGTTTCTAATTCAGAAACATTCTCCATGTCACTAAAATCAAAGACAACAAATTCTTAATGAACAGCATTAAATAATAGCAATTCAAACTAAAAGTATAGATGGAATTGCCTGTATCATATACAACATATCAATGGTACCGATGGCCATGAATCGTTACCCTAAGCATTTTCACATACACTATATTATATTTGCAAATGATCCAAGTTTTCTATGTTGAACAAATTTGGCAGAAACATTAAATTTACTTTGATTTCTAAAAACATCCAACTGTTTTCTTTCTTAATGAACATTTGTTGAGATTTTGTGACATACACAGTAAAAGTAATGACTTTAGGACAGGAACAAATCTAGGGCACCTGGCAATATGTAATTACATGTAAAGTGACACTTATTGATGGATGATAAACTTAATCAAAGAAAATTTACCTCAGTGGATCTCCTTTAAACTTTACACACATTTAAACAGTATATACAACATACCTTGTTACTGAATCCATTGTCATATTAGTTAGTAACTCCATCCCAACTGTATAGTAATTATATATCATAGAGAGATCCGATGTGAACACAGTATACAGAAGATCCTGGACGCTGTTCTTTCCATTTAGTGTCTGATATAAATACTGAACATCTTCCACCATTCTTGGCCAGTTTATTCCATTCTCTAAATTGTGCTCCACTTCCAGTTCAACCTAACAGAATGAGATAAACATAAATAATTATAGAAAAGAATTATTTTTCAACAAGAACAATGTGACATCATGATTTGATGATGTCCTTAATGAGAGCGCATGTCATTATGAGTCAAAAATCAGTAAAAAATACTTAAAACCAATTAAAAAGCTTGAAATAAATAGCAAATTTGTTTGTTTTGATTGTAAGATCAAATTATATTTCAATCATGAACACCAGCACTTACATTTTCACTCTTGGCTATGCTGCTATTGAAAATATTACATCAAGTGTTCACTTTGTGAAATATATTTCGATCATATAATTATGCAAAACAAACAAATATCCTCTGTTTATGCTAAAATAGAAAAATACATTATAATACAAAAAGTAAGATTCAGTGCTTCATGTTTTACAGATATTTAAGCAAACAATTATTGATTCTAAATTCTAAATTTACTAACATCTGATAGGAACGACAGGGGATCAGCAATGTTCCAAACATCTTCAACAAATTTTGTGATATTTGTTTGACAAACAAACATTTTCATATCATTTATAGAGATATCATCAGCCACATTGAGGCTGTTCCAATCAGTCTTCTCACATAACATTTTGGTAAGCTCAGTTGTGTCCGTGGAAGTTAACATTCTAGCTAGCTGTAAATATAAATTATATCAAAATTAAGTCATTTTTCTATTTCAAATGTGAAATCATTAGAAGCAATTGAAATACTGTACTGTAAACTCAAACTTGGAACCCTCAAAATACCGTTCCGTGGCTTTTCAGACTGAGCTATCCTGCCGCTTACACATCTTGTCCCCTAAATAGTGAACAGTTTTGAACCTTGACATTTCCCTGTTCTAAAAATGTATATCTCTGTAAAAAGTTAATCACTGAAAAAAGACAAATAGCTTTTGGCTTTTCTTGTATGGTCAAAATCAAGCACTTATTGTGTTTGGCTTTGAATGCATAAGACAGAAGTCAATAAGCCAATGCATTGAATCCTGACCTGCATTATTCTTATGATACATCACAACATGTTTGTTTTCAAAAGAGCACATGTCAATGTTTGTTGTTAAATCATTGTTATTCAAACAAAAAGTTAGAGTAGGAATCTATCAATTACAATAAATATTGAGCTGAATAAATGGATTTAACCAATTTAAAAAACATGCTACATATTATAAAGTTCCTACACAAATATGATATTCAGTGACATTCAAATTTTAAGATAAGAATGATGAGTCATACCTCAGATAGGTTTGTACCAGCAGCAGATTGCACAATGTTAGGATAGTATGGTAGGTATTTAACCACCTTTGTTATTACTTTGTCTTTTTTATTCATTTCTGAAAAACAAAAATACCCTTTGCATACAAGTGCACTGACAACACAGTTAATTATAATACTTTCAGCAAATTTATATTCTTAAAACATCATGACTTAGTAGTTTAACAATTTTCAGTCATTATTGTTTATTGTTTTTATTATTTTTATTTATTTATTCAATTTTTTTTTAATGGGGGGGGGGGGGCTTGGGGGGTTGGGAGGCATAATTTAGTTAGTTCCTACCACAATGTTGGCAATATTATTTTTCAATGCAACATTTTATATAGAATCATAATCCCAACTCCCCCTCCCAAAAGATGTGTACTGTATTTGTTCATTTGTTCCTGTAATATGTTTTTCATAACATTTTTAGAAGAGGTATTTACCTTTTAATTTATAGGACTTGTTTTTTTTAGTTGGATCATAGAAGTCAACTGAAAATTATATGATAACAAAATACTGCTTTTTTTTGGAAAATTCAGGTATGTCTTATTAAAAAGCTTGTTTGCAGATACATTATATATATATCAAATATTTGCTAAGTGTACAAATGTTTACCTTCAAACAAATGTACTCTGTTCAGTGCTGTATGAAGCATGGCATCTAACATTTCAAACCAAGGTTTGAATGTTGATTCCCACATAGGACCATTTTCTGCTGACTTTGCAACTATCACCACTGGTAGCATTGTCCTGAAAAAAAGAAAATGCTTCATATATTGTTATTAACAATGAAAGTTTGACAAAAACAAGAGGGCCATGATGGCCCTGAGGTCGCTCACCTGTATATAGCCTCCCCCCCCCCCCCCGGGTCAATTTTTACCCAAGGGCTTTTATTTGAACAGACTTGGTAGACACCCATAAGAAGATGTTTCATGCTAAACATCTAAGTTCTAGCTCATTGGGTTTTTTAAAAGAAGATTTTTAAGTTTTTACTATACACATATAGTTAAAAACAATGACACCCCTGGGGCAGGGCCAGTTTTGACCCCCGGGCTTTTATTTGAACAAACTTTGTAGATATTTACTTAAAGATGTTTCATGTATAATATCTAAACTCAAGCTATTTGGGTTTTTTTCAAAGAAGATTTTTAAGTTTTTGCTATACACATATAAGGAAAATCAATGACCCCCGGGGCAGGGCCAGTTTTGACCCCAGGGCTTTTATTTTAACATACTTGGTAGACACCCATTAGAACATGTTTCGTGCTAAATATCTTAGCTCTAGCTCTTTGAGTTCTTTAAAAGAAGATTTTTTAAGTTTTTACTATATGCATATAGGGAAAATCAATGACCCCCTGGGGCGGGACCAATTTTGACCCCAGGGCTTTTATTTGAACAAACTTGGTAGACACTCATTAGAAGATATTTCATGTCAAATATCTTAGCTCTAGCTCTTTGGGTTCTTTAAAAGAAGATTTTTTAAGTTTTTACTATATGCATATAGGGAAAATCTATGACCCCCTGGGGCAGGGCCAATTTTGACCTCAGGGCTTTTATTTGAACAAACTTGGTAGACACTCATTAGAACATGTTTCATGCTAAATATCTTAGCTCTAGCTCTTTGAGTTCTTTAAAAGAAGATTTTTTAAGTTTTTACTATATGCATATAGGGAAAATCAATGACCCCCTGGGGCGGGGCCAATTTTGACCCCAGGGCTTTTATTTGAACAAACTTGGTAGACATTCACTAGAAGATGTTTCATGCCAAATATCTAAGCTCTAGCTTTTACAGTTCTTTAAAAGAAGATTTTTTAAGTTTTTACTATATGCATATAGGGAAAATCAATGACCCCCCGGGCCGGGGCCAATTTTGACCCCAGGGCTTTTATTTGAACAAACTTGGTAGACACTCACTAGAAGATGTTTCATGCCAAATATCTTAGCTCTAGCTCTTTGGGTTCTTTAAAAGAGGATTTTTAAGTTTTTACTATATGCATATAGGGAAAATCAATGACCCCCTGGGGCGGGGCCAATTTTGACCCTAGGGCTTTTATTTGAACAAACTTGGTAGACACTCATTAGAAAATGTTTCATGCCAAATATCTAAGCTCTAGCTCTTACGGTTCTTTAAAAGAAGATATTTAAAGATTTTTCTTTCGGTTGCCATGGCAACCAGAGTTCTGCATGAAATGGAAATCTTTGAACAATCTTGATAGAGCTTTATACAAAGAGTATTCCTGCCAAGTTTCATTAACATTGGCCTTGCGGTATCATAGAAGATGTCCTTAGAATATTTAAAATGTGGATGGACGACAGACGACGGACGCCATTTGGTTGGCCATACTAAAAGCTCACCTGCACTTTGTGCAAGGTGAGCTAAAACAACACTATATTCTTTAACATGTATAGTTGTTTTCTTTTTGTTTTCTTCTTGCAATTTCAGATTGCTTGTACACATGTATACATGTACATTGCATTTTTTTAAGCTTTACCGGCTAATTTTTATAGTAATGCATTCACATATATTAAATAAAGAAAACACATTATGCCATGGGGGTATATTTACATATAAAATGGGTTGTATAATGTTTTATTGCAGACAAACCATATTTACAAGGAGCCTCTGTGGTTGAGTTGTTAAGGTCATTGACTTTAACCCCACTTCAGACTTTAACCTCACTTCAAACCTCTTGCCTCTCACCACTGTGGGTTCAAACCCCCGACAGGGACTTTGGCTTCTTTCATGTAAAGAAGATATCCAGCTAGCTTATGGAGCGTAGTAGTTCTACTCAAGTGCCTGTATGTGCCTGAAATAAATGCACGTTAGTGCACCTAAGGTCTTACTTCACAAGAAAAGCAGGAATATCACCATATGCTCTATACTGTGTCGGTGTGAGATAAAAAATACAAAAAAAACAAATCAAACTTATTTACAACTTACTTTGTTTGTACTCTATACTGAGAACCAATCATGCCAAATACCCAGTTATAACTGCCCATATAGTCTATATTTGTGTTAGCTAATACAAGATTCCACTCATCATCATCTTCATCATTCACTATACCCATCAGTTCTTGTATCATATCAGACATTTCATAATACATATCTTTCATATTTCCTATCTCCTGGTCTGCTGGTATTGTCCCCTTCATCATTGAGTCCATATCCTCCATCTCCTTCTCAAGCTGGAAGCCAAATATACATTAGGTTAGATTTAAGAAAATACCCTTAAATTTTCATTCTAATACACTTCACACTAATCCGCTATCAAACAGATTGGCTGGTCAAGTGCATTATTACATTATATATGCACGACATAAAAAAAGAATGCTTTAATGTCATATGATATAAGACATGAAATTGTTTGTTTTTATCAAACATGTAGTAAAACATATATATCTTACCTGGACAGTCAATGATGACATGCTATTGTCAGCAAAGACTTGGTCAATAGCTGCTGTGGCCCCCTCTGAACATATTGTCTGTACAACAACATCTGTATCGTATCCTGGTATACCGTCATATGTTACACTTACTGCATCTTTACATATGTCAGCTGAGGTAGACTCTCCTGACATCAACAACTGAAAATAAGTAAAAATTTATTTAAATGAGGCTGATGCATGAGAGAATTTAAATTTAAATAAAGTGTGAATTTTACTCACATGATTTTAAAGAATAACATATATTCAGGTTCATTTGACAGGGTGAGAACAAAAACAATTGTTTTAAATTTCCTTTGCTAAGCAAACTTAACCAATATACCCACCTTCTCCTCCCCAGGTAGTAGTTGGGACATGGATTTTTAGTTTTTAAAAACCTTGAAAAAGAGCCTACCAATGGAGAAGGCAATCTCTTAGCTACACGCCTCAGGACTGAAGCAGTCTGGAAATATCCCCAATCATTGATGGCGGCAAAACAAAACAATGACATTGACCTAGCAATGCTAAGACAGAAAAAAAAGTTGAAAACCTGGCTCATTTCACCGCTATCACCTGCCCTTCTCCTGCCTGCTGTGAGATCTGCAGTTACAACTGACTGGGAAGAGACAGCATGAAGGGATTCCCTATATAACCAATTAGGCCATTATTTACATAATTAAAGATATTATATGTATAAAAGTATTAAAAGTATTGATATTAGACAAACATACATAGATATTTTCCATTGTAACCATCTCTGCCATGAATATATAGGTCATTTCAGGTCCTGCTGCCTCTAGCTCATTGAGAGAAACTGTCACAGCCTCGGTGTTTTGAATGGTATATTTTAGATCCTTCTCCATTTCTACAAAAAATTTGATTTTTTAAAAAAAAAAATGTAAAATCAGTTATCATATGATATCCCACAAATCATATTATGTCATATCACATCAAATTATATAATAATGGCATATGTCATACTTTAAGATCATATCACAAGCCATTATATCATAATGACATATATCATACCATAATATCATAAAGCATCATATCACATAATTTCATAATGGCATATATCATCCATAATATCATATCACATTATATCATAAAGACATATATCAGCCATATCATATCACATAATTTCATAATGGCATATATCATCTATAATATCGTATCACATTATATCATAAAGACATATATCATACCATAATAGTATATGATATCGTATAGCATATAGCATATTTGCTTAATAAAATTTATGGACAAACAATGATATTAATATGAACTTTACTTTTGGTATGTACTCTAACTTCGTCCATCATTTCCATCATGTTGGTTGCCATGGCCATTACCATATTTGCTGTCTTGTTACCAAACATTTCTGGCATCATGTTTTCTATGTACTGTAAAGTGTCATTCATAGACCTGCAAGTATAAATAAAACATGTTTATGTTCCAGGATTAAGATCACAGTTGGAACCATCTAGTTAGTTCAATAGGTAGCGTGTTAAGATTTGGTAATCAGGCAATCTAAGTCCTTCATGTTAACTCAATAGGTAGAGAGTTGGACTATGAATCAGGTGGCATGTGTTCAATTCCCAGATGGTGCAGGTCACTCATTGTAATTGATCGCAAAAGCCTTTCTATCGTAGTGTACCTCTGCTCTGGCATGTACAGAAGTAATCATTTTCTTGCAAAAAGTGAAAGCAACAAGTGCTGTCTGGAAAACTGCTTCACAGCCAGTCAAGGAACCATGAGGTGGCTGAACTGTGCTCTGGCAAATTCAAAGTAGCTATGCCGTGTACAAGAGGATAAAATACCACCATAACTACCACCAGATCACTGAGGCCATGAAGATTGGGGGTAAGAATTGATATTGTTTTTGTTGTTGCTGCTATTGCTGAAGGTGATGATGAAAATGATAATCAAAGTACTTACAATAATGATATGATTATAATTATGATGATAAAGGTACCAGTGACAGCTACAAGATAAGTGTCTTTCAATTTTAAAGACCCTGATGACAGTAATGGTAACAATTTTGTTTTTAATAAAGTGATGCTTGTTAAAGTGAAGATAATGATAATCATCATGATGATGAAAACATTATTATTGATGATGATGATGATGATGATGATGATGATGATGATGTGAGTGTTGATGTTAGTGATGCTGGTTGTGGTGATGGTAATGATGATAATGATGTCGAAGACGGTGCTATTGATGACAACGACAATTATGACAAAGATGATTACAAAATAACAAAGATGGTAACTAACTAAATATGAAGAGAAATGGAATAGTTTTAATTATTGTAATCAATAAATTATATATAAATTTGTCTACAATATTAGATATTTATAACTTACATGTCTTCCCAGCTTGCACCATTTACAAACATGTTGAGTATGTCGCTTGCCTCCTTTAATGGAACATCAGACATAGTTTGCGGTAAACCCAGTCCAAAACTGTTTAGAAGCCCTAAATCTAATTCACCTGAAATAATCAAAGAGACAAAACAAAGTTGAAAATAAAGAGCAATTTTCAACACAAAAATCTATTACAAAGTGGTGACATTAACTTTTTAAAGAAGTATCTCAATACATTCTGTGATAAAGTTGCGTTAGCAAACTGACATTGAAGCGGACGCCCAAGTGATGATGTTTGTTCGTTTTGTTTGTTTTGGGTTTTACGTCACATCGACACAGTATAGGTCATATCGCGACGTTCCAGCTTTACTGGTGGAGGAAGACCTCAGGTGCCCTTCCGTGCATTATTTCAGGCACGAACGGGCACCTGAGTAGAACCACCGACGTTCCGTAAGCTAGCTGGAAAGTGATGATGTAATTAGTATAGTTAGCTAAAATGATATTAATACATCATGTTCAATAATTGTAAGGCTAAAATGATAATCTAAATACCATCCAAATCTGCAAGCCCCTTTGACGCACTTCTTACAGCAGCTTCTATAGACTCTAACCAACCCATATCAGCCAGATCATTTAGCATAGGTACGAGTTTTCCAAGCTGAGTTAACGCGCCCGATATTACACTAAGATCCGGCATGTTTTCCATCATCGATAACAAACTAGACTTGTCTATAAACATGTCCACGAGATCTGCCATATCTTCCATAAGTACAGCAAGGTCAAATGACCCTGTGACGTTTGACAAATCTTGGATCTGAAAGAATCAGTACGAAAAATATGGGTTTATGCCCCAGTACAAACTGTACATACATTCAAACACATTTTTTGCGACACCATATATTTGTATTAATTTGCTGACAAGATTTAAAATCGAAAATTGAACAAAAAACAAAACACTTGTGAAATATGGAATTGTATGATTAATGGGGTACTGCAGGCCAGGGAAAGACCGTGTACAGACACTATATAAACTTCAGAAAGTTTTGTTACCTCTGTATTAGACTAAATATGATTAATATCTTAATCAAGATTTGGAAAAATATCAATACCTAATCAGAAATTCCATGAACATTGTACATGTATAAAAATAAGAAGAAACTGACCATATCTAGGAAGTTATTCTGTAAAACGGAGAGCTAATTTTTTACTAAACATGTCAGTCTAAAAACCACGCAAATTTAAATGTACATTGATCTATTTTCTATTCTTTTTTTCATAATTTGTTTTATTATGGTGTAGATCTAGATCTAAATGTTGTTAATAAAATAATTTTCAAAGTAGTAAAGGGTGCAGATCTGGCGAAAGGGGGTTAAAGTTTTTTTGTGTGTTTTTGTTTTTGTTTTTTGTTTTTGCTTTTTTTTTAAATTCATATTTCTAGCGATTTGAACATTGACTGGACTGACTGAAGAATTTCTATTGGCGGATGAAATGCATTTATTTATGTTTCACATTTCTTATCATTTATAGTACATCATACCTTTATGATTAAAACTTTGCGAACATTATATAAATTATATTCGACATTAAAAGCATATATAAAATAATAACGTAACAAAATAATGAATTAAAAAATGCTTCTGTAATTAAGCCATAAAAAATTTTCTTCGATATTTTTTTTCTTTAATATCAGATTTAAGTTAAAATAACGATACTATTTCAAATGTTTTAAAGTTCATTGTTAGCGAGTACAGTCTAAGCACTTAGTTTAAAATATAGCACATAATGTTTTAAATACATAAAAGTAATAATACCAATAAAAGCGGATCAAATTTACACAAAGGCATAGCTCTCTTATATAAGTTGGTACTATATAAGTTACGAAGCCATTCAGTTCAAATATTTGAGAATGTACTAAATTATTTAAACCTTTCCCGCCTTTAAAAGATATTTCTCACATAGTTTTCAATTTTGTTCGTTAATTTTTAATTAATTTTTATTTTCAGTTTCCATCTTACAATGGACAACCAGTACTATAATTATAAGGAATTTATTATGATTTTAGAAAACATATTTGAGCTGCGTCATGACAAAACCAACATAGTGCGTTTGCGACCAGCATGGATCCAGACCAGCCTGCGCATCCGCGCAGTCTGATCAGGATCCATGATGTTCGCTATCAGTTTCTGTACTTGTAATAGGGTTGGTAAGCGAACAGCATGGATCCTGATCAGACTGCGCGGATGCGCAGGCTGGTCTGGATCCATGCTGGTCGCAAACGCACTATGTTGCCAGTTGTTTTTGTCGTGACGCGGCTCATTTCATAATTTAGTGATGTTTGACCTCTCAATAGCCTGAAGCTATCCAGTAATGTAATTCTTCACATGAAGAAATTACATACTTAATTTTTGATTTGTATAATTGCTGTTTTTTTGTTGGTTTTTGTTGTTGTTGTTTTCTGCCGAAAACTGTTGTTGAACTAGTTTAAATACATACATTAATTCGCTTTTATGTAAGGGGAATATTTTATATTGAAGTCAGACTGTCCCATATTCAACAGTATTGAACTTTTTTTGTCGGGTTTTAAGGTGAGACTCCGGTCATTTTACATGGTTCGAAAGTTGTGATCAAGAAGTAATCTATACACCCTTATAGTACAATACTTCCAATGATTTTAAATGTCCTTCCTTATGTTGAATTAGTGAAGGTTTTTGTGTAAGCACAGCCAAAAGGATTCCCAGCATATTCACAGTTTTCTCGGGTTAAGGGCAAGTTTAACAATATTCCGCACATGGCAATGGTTTTCTATTACTATACAGTACTACAGTAATGTAACAAGAAAAGCATTGATGCAAAGCATCAAAGGGCGACGCCAAAAGAATTTGATCCAGGTTTGCACCTAATTACTAGGGGTGTAACAATACAGCAAAAACCGTATTGCAATATATTGCCATTTTGCTGAAGCGTATTGCAATATATTGCAATACGTATTGTCGTGTATATGTTTTGATGTAAAGATGGAGTAACATTTATATATTATTATTATATGTATATATTTTTAGTAGAAACTTAACAAAAATGTAAGGAATAAATAGAAAGTAGTGTCACACAATTTGATAAACAAAACTAGTCGTGTGTGACCTTTCACATATGGGCCGCTATCTATCTATCTCTGGATACTGCCAACCCCTCTTACGAGTGTTACAGGCAGGTATACATTGTATACATTTAAGAAACAGCTTTAAGATACAAGGGAATCCGGGAACCAGTCCCTAGCTCTTATTGAATAGACCCCTTGGTTCTTTTACATGCCCAGTGTATAGCACTGATACATGCGAGGATTACCTGGATTTCTTACCAGTACACCTCTATGTAGGTGGGAAACACTGAAAATGTAAATTATGCGGCCGCTTATTGACTTTTAAGTGTACTAGTTGTCGGATACTTTTATCTTACGTTGGCGCCAACAAAATTTGCCAATTAAAGATTTTATGTGAAATTTGTACAAAATTAGAAGGCAATTAATTGAAAATGATGATTTTTATAAAATACCGGTTTTCCAAAAATTGTACCGCGGTTCGAAATTTATTTTTTCATATTGCAATATATCGGTATACCGGTAAACCGTTACACCCTTACTAAATACTTAACAAAAGATGTGTACTTTATAGCAGTACCATTTCATGTGACCTGGAGGCTTGGCCCAGTTAAGTTGAAACTTAATTAAACCAAAAAGAATAGACTCTGTCTTGCCAAGATGCAAAGACAATTTATAGTCAATAAACCAATCTTAAGATTTACTTTACCAGATACAAGGATACCTGAGTCATCATCATATAATGACAGGCACAAGTATCACACCTGGGAAGAAAAAATATGACCAGATTAATAAAAAATCTGTGTTCATCTTAAAAGTGTCAAAAACCAAAAAAAAAAATGTAAATAATGACCCCCTTTAAAAATATACTATTAACTTAAAGTATATTTTTAAAGGGGGTCATCATTTACATTTTTTTTTGGTTTGTGACACTTTTAAGATGAACACAGTTTTTTTTATCAATCTGGTAATATTTTTTCTTCCCAGGTCTGATACTTGTGCCTGTGCATATAATAAAAGCTTATTGCTTAGGGTTGCAGACATGTCATACATAAAAGAGGACCTAAAATGAACATCAGGGGGGCACCATAGGTATTCAGAGAGAAGGAGTACCAGCCACATTCACCAGCTGCTATCATAGATAAGACTTGAACCATGCAAGAATGTCATTACAATGGCAGATGCTTGAAGAGATGAAGAAGAAGAAAAAAGAACTTCTTCATGTGCAGTTTAGTGTGATCAACTGTACCAAATGCTTTTTGTAGATTTAAAAGTATCAAGCAAAACTGCCTTTGTCCATTTCAAATTAAATGCAATCTATTAAATGAATCAAACATGTGTCAGTTGAAAAACCACTTCTAAACCCTGACTGAAACTGCCTGATCATGACTCGAACCCATGACTTTCAGAAGACCAACTGAGCTATCCGGCCGGCTACACATTTTCTCTGTAATAATGAAACAGTTCTAAACCTAAACCTTTTTCCCCACTATATTGATTCATGTACTTGAATTTCTGATGTTTACAGAGCATAGTGAATTAAACTCATGGTTATTTGCAGTAACAGGATGAGAAAAACTTTCAGCTTGACCAGAACTCAAACCTGTGACCCACAGAATAATGTACCGCGGCTGTAGCGATTGAGCTATCTGGCCGCTTACACATTTTCTCCCCTAAATAGTGAACAGTTCTAAACCGTGACAGATATTTAGATTTTTGAATTAACAGATAATTAATTCTTAATTAATAAATAAGAAAAAAAAACCTTACATACTCATAGTCTTAATTAAAATAACACTTTATATAATTATTATTGTATAATTGTTTTTACTAAAAAGGGCTAAGACAGTTATTGGTTGTGCCATTATTTATAACAGGTCAATTTGAAAGAGAATATAACTGTGCTAATACATGTACAATATCTATGATAAGAAATTTTATGAAGGCTGATTTGTATTTTACATCAAGGGCACCGGGCGAAAACATGAAAATGCAACAAACGAACCACTTTGTGGTAGATTGTATTTTCATGTTTTCATCTGGCGCCCGGTTACTTTTTGTACTTTGTTGGTTTTCATGTGGCACAAATCAGGCGCAGTCTAAAACGCGGACGCCTTAAGCGGACAATATAAACATATAGGGAAAACGCTGACAATATAGACAAAGAGGAAAAAAGCGGACGATATAGATATATAGTGTAAAATGTCTGAGCATAGTTAAATGCTAATAATTGGCTTTTATAAAGTAATATCTGAAAGATGTATTAATTATAATAATTAAAAAAGACTTTAGTTTATTTATTTGTTCAAATTCTTAAATTTAGAGCATAGTTAAATTCATATTAAAGGCTAATAATTGGCTTTTATAAAGTAATATCAAACAAAACAAACACTTAATAACTTTTAATTAAACAGTACAAAACATGCAACAGTCACGTGCGGAAAACTGAATAAGGGCACAAGAATTAGTTTGAATATATTTGAACAGTTTGCATACGCAATTCGCGGACATGATAAACATATAGGGAAAACGCTGACAATATAGACATAGAGGAAAAAAGCGGACGATATAGATATATAGTGTAGATTGACATTCTTTTCAAAATATACAATTTACTATGATTTGTAATTTACTTTTGTTTCTATATTGCACATTAATTGACATATTAGCCGAATCTTCTTTTGTGTACATATATAATTATGAAATAGTGGGCGAATGAG